TTTTTTGCTCATCGTTGTCACCCGTATGTCTCTACTCGATCAATCGTTGACAAACTCATCAAATCAAAACAAACTTTCAATATCTCATTTCCATCGCTTCTTTTTTTTTATATTTCACATTGGCCAATATATTATTATTACTATTATTCTGCGTTCGCACATATATATCATAAATTATGACAAAAAACAGAAAAATTATTTTGTTGAAAGACTCCCAATCGTCTGTTCCTCTGTTTATTGTTTATTTGCATATTTGTTTGTTTATTTGTTTTGTCACTTTTATCAGTTATCGATTTCAAATTATTTCGTGTAATGTCATCTTCACTTATATGATTAAATTCAGTTGTTAATTATTTAAAAAAAGATTACTATTTCAAGTATTTGTTTCTTTTTTTTTCTCTTTATTTTTTGTTTGTTTACTTCTAGGAGAAAGGACAAATTACAAAACAGCGCTAATGTCAACGATTTTTAGCAATTTTATGAAAATGCCGGTAATCTTATAATAGCATTATCAAATGTTGATATAATCATCTTTTCTGATAAGATTGATTAGCGCTTATATGTTTGTTTAATTTGAATGATCAAATTCTAAACCTATAAATATTCCATTTGATTAATGGAAGAAAGACGGATCAGGAAACGGAGAAGGCAAAAGAGAAACCGGAAAGGAAACGAAACTTTTGTGTCATGACAAGAGCTTTATAAAGAGAGGGAGAGAGAGAGACAAAATGAGAAACGTTTCTCTCTTTTCTTCATTCTCTTTGTTGTTTGTTAAATAAATATGAGAAAAACAAAAAAGTTAATGAAATAAAAGAGAATAAAATAATTTCGGAAGAAAAGGGAAAATAAAATAAAATCGGAAAGAACTGAAACACAGAAAAAAAATAGTGAATTAAGGAATAAAATTCACAACACATAAAGTGGCGCTGTTTATCGAAGGAAACGAAATGGACGATCCATCCCATAGGACAAAACAGGAAGACTTTTCCGGCATCAGTGAATGACAAACGGAAATTAAGCGCTAAACTGATCTTTTCTTCCTTTCCTTTTTCTTTTTCTAAAATCTAAAGCATTGATTTTTTTTTTTTTTTTTCGTAATCGTTGATTTATTATTATCAGCAAAATAATAAATAAAATTCACTAAAATAATCACTCTGTTCTGCTTAATTTTTATTTAATTAAAATTTGATTTTTTTTCGAATTAAAAAAGAAAACTAAATGAGTAATAATATTATGCACATTTCAAGCTCTCAGCTATTTTCAATGATATTTTTTCTAAAAGTATTTTAAGAAGAAATGCATTTTTGTTTCAATTTCTTATTTCATATTAATTGTAAAAGTTATCATTGATAAGCATTGTGCTATGCATAATAATTAAAAAAACAGTGAAAACAGCGAGAAAAATTGCTCATAAATTGAATCGTTTCATAATTTAAATTCAAAAAAAAAAAAAAAATTGTTTTGTAGAAATTTTAATTTTGGTATATATATTTAACTTCGAGAGATTTTCTGTTTGAAATCATTTTCAATCTTCAATGAAAGATGTGAAAGCTTGAATGAGCATAAATAAATAAAGAAATAAATAAATAAATAAACCTAGTCGAAAGAGCATTACTCAATGTATTTCATATGGCCACGGTGACTGCTATGCAATCTTTTATGCTTATTTCTAAAGGCATTTATTGGTCAACTTGAAATGTCCAACTCTTTTCATACGATTTCCCTCATTTCATTATTTTACTACCTTTGTCATCTCTTCTACTCTTTCAATTCAATTGAAATTGTCGTAGTTCGTTTCAATATAGAACAAAGATTACAATTTCAATATTAATTTTAATTAGTTTTCATCTACGATAAATTTTTCCATCATATTTCTGCTTCTTTTGTAACAAAAATTTTCTTCAACCATTTAAAGAGCTCTTTAATTCTCAAACAAAAAGTTTTTTTAAAAAAAAAAATTTTTTGCAGAATAGTTGAAGTAACTATCTTAGTTTAATTTATTCTGAACAACAAGAAATGGTTCTGTTCCTAGAAACGAAATATATATGTTTTTTTTTTTGTAAAGTTAATTCAAAAAATTGTCTGATGAAAGAATTTTAATTCATTTAATATGAAATGAATTTAATTTCCAGAGCAAAAGTCTTCGGATAATTAAATGCTAATTGATCTTTTTGTATTTAACTTTTTAAATGCTAATTGATCTTTTTGTATTTAACTTTTTGCTATCCCATTTTTATTTTAGAAAAGAAATTGCTTGGCGCTATTTTATCCATCAATAAACGATTTGCTCTGATCAAAAATTTTATTCTGAAAGTACCTATGCTGCTCATAACGGATCCTCTAACCATCGTCTTTCCTTTAGCATAAATTATAAATTAAATTTCATTGTCGCAAAAATGTCTTATTGGTAGTTTGGGAGAAGTTTTACTCCTAAAATCTTTTCTCAAACATTGTTAGCCACAAGATTTTATAATAGAATTTAAAAAATTGCGCAAATTGATGAAATTTCCGTTACACTTCTTGTTTTGAAGCCATCGGTGTTAACTCTTTCGGAATATACAATTGCATTACGGCGCATTTTGTATTCAATAGAATTTGGTAAATAAAACAAACATTTCACGTAGATAAATAAATTCACGTAAATACGTAAATAAACAATTTTCTCAAGTAAATTCCGTTTAGCTCACGTATTTTATGATTTGATTTACACGTTACGCCCTCATTTTATATCATTTTAATCGATATAATCAATAATTCAATTGATAATAATTCATTTGATAATTTCATCAACAAATCTCATATAATGGTAACATTCTTAACAATTGAATATTTAAATGAGCAAATGATAATACGAAACTGTTTTCTGCTCAATTTTTTTTTTTTTTTTTTCTTGGTAAAATACATGATGAATGTTTGTTATGAAAATACTGGGGGGGAATTTGACATTTGCGCAATTGTGCTAAGTGAGCAATGAAGAATGCATCGTCTCTTCTCGTCACATTGTCACAATCCATAATTTGGAAGACGAAGGAAATTTTGATCCTTTTAATGGACTTATTTCAATGAAACGCATTAAATTGCACTTCAAATATAAATTGTGCATAGTGTGAATTTGAGTTATATTTATGTGACATCGTTTTACTCATTTCATCCTTAACAGTGCAATTAATGATTTATGTGTCGAAAAAAGTATGGCGTCGAAAAGTCTTTCACACTAATTTAAAAGTTAAAGTAAGAAATGCAGGGTGTAAATTAGTTATGATTCATTTCTTTCTCATACTTCCATCAAAAACACAAATCTTTTCCATTGGAGTAATAAATGACCTTTCACCTTTTAATTGATTATTTGATCATCCTTATCAGTTGCAATATTCTAACTAATAGCAAAATTATTGACAGTAATCGTGATTAAAAATGATTGTAAAGGCTGTTAAATATTCAAATGATAAAGTATCTTTAATTGCTTTTAGAAATTTCTATTGGACAATTTGTTAATGAAAATGAGAAAAACTATTTTACTATTCAAAGAAATCCCTCAGTAGTTCTGAATAAGAAATTCCTTGGTAATTTTCAATAAAAAATCCCCCGGTAGTTCTGAATAAGAAATCCCTCAGTAGTTCTGAATAAGAAATCCCTCGGTACTTCTCAATAAGAAATCCCTCAGTAGTTCTGAATAAGAAATCCCTCGGTACTTCTCAATAAGAAATCCCTCAGTAGTTCTGAATAAGAAATCTCTCGGTAGTTCTCAATAAGAAATCACCGAGAAGTTCAATTTTCCTTTCCTTTTTTCTCGCTAATTTATCATTTTCTCACTTTTAAACTATTTTACCTAAGGAAGCAAAATTTCTTACAAAAACACAATCTTATTTTATGCATTCTGTGAAATCATCGCTCTATGCTTTCTGCTTCTTTCTCAAAATTGATAATTCCATGAGAAATTCGACTTTCACTGAGAGTAAGTGCTGATATAATTTTAAAATGAGTTTCACTCTTTGCTATAAGTGTTATCAATTGTGATTGGATAGTGTTATCATTGATATTATTATCATAAGTCAAACTGTGCATATTTTGTAATAAAACTTTTAATTTTCTTTTGCAGCTATGGCAAAGTTTTTGCAATTAACTTTCTGCCATGTGCTTATCAGCAATAAATGATAAGTAATAATTTCATGATAAGTAACATTGCCAGTAATAATTTCATGATAAGTAACATTGCCAGTAATAATTTCATGATAAGTAACATTGCCAGTAATAATTTCATGATAAGTAACATTGCCAGTAATAATTTCATGATAAGTAACATTGCCAGTAATATTTCATGATAAGTAACATTATCAGTAATAATTTCATAAAAATCCATCCACACATTCCCTTCTCAAATTTAATTTTAAATCCAATCACTTTTCTTATTTAATTACTTCAAGCAATATTATATTATTATCTGCAAATTTTCATCATTGTCTAAATAAGCAATTTTATTATTTTAATGAAATATTTATTTAATTAAAAAGTTCAAAAATAGATTTTAGCAAAAATAATCATTAAACTATGCTAATTTTTTGAAACCTTTCAATCGATTCATTTCTGTTTCTTCAAGTTAAAAGCCTAAAAATTTTGCAGCATTTATTGAATTCCGAATTATTTGGAAGCAATCATCAAAAGTTCATTGCAACAGTCAACATGAAAAGAATAACTTATCAATGACTTATCATAATTATCAGTCTATCAGTGATAATATCATTTCTTACTGTTAGATCAGTGTAGCAAATAATTTATTCAAAAATGCTCAAAAAATTACACTGCTGCAATTAATTTTTATCATAATTAAACTATTTTTCAGATTTAATTTTCATTTTTCTACCATTTCGCTAAATTATATTTACCTAAAATTCAGTGTGCAATCATTGCTGCCATTTCGACTTGTCTTATTGTTAGTGCAAAATGATGAACAATTAGAATATGTGATACAACGTTGATCAGTGATAATTATCATATCCAATATGCTGGTGCAATATCAATCGATCAAAATTCTGTTCCTCTTATTACATTTATTGATACAGGTAAAGTTGAATTATGTTTATTGATTTAGGTAAAGTTGAATTATGTTTATTGATACAGGTAAAGTTGAATTATGTTTATCGATACAGGTAAAGTTGAATTATGTTTATTGATACAGGTAAAGTTGAATTATGTTTATTGATACAGGTAAAGTTGAATTATGTTTATTGATACAGGTAAAGTTGAATTATGTTTATTGATACAGGTAAAGTTGAATTATGTTTATTGATACAGGTAAAGTTGAATTATGTTTATTGATACAGGTAAAGTTGAATTATGTTTATTGATACAGGTAAAGTTGAATTATGTTTATTGATACAGGTAAAGTTGAATTATGTTTATTGATACAGGTAAAGTTGAATTATGTTTATTGATACAATTTGTTGTAATTGTGTAAAATTTGTGTGATTATGGGATGAAAGATACAAGAAATATTGATAATTCAGCGAGATAATATTAAAATGGAAGAGACACAGCGCGGTGAAATATTACTTATCAGATATATTATATATTTGAAACTATTTAAAATATAAACAATGACTTCACTATCATTAATTTCTTTTAATTTATTCATTCCTTTATTGCAATTATAACATTTTTTATCATCGAAACAAATGCTTAGTAATTAATTAAAATGCTTAGCAATTAATTAAAATTTATTTTACAACGCTTTTAAAGAGGCATAAACGTATATTCTATGCCACAATTAATTTTTAATCAGTCTGAATTAGAATCTGTTCTCTTTTTAAATACAATACTATCACTTATAGATTATCTGTTATCAGAGGATGCTTATCACTGATGAATTTATTCCAAAAGAGAAAATTAGGAGAATTATTTTCTTAGTTTAATTAAAATCTTTTGATAATTTTGCTTTTTTCTGCGAAATTTTGATAGCATTTCTTTTTATTATCCTTTTCTTTCTTTCTAAAAGAGATGGAGAGGGAGAGAGAGAGAGGAAAAGAGAGGGAGAGAAATAGACAGAGAAAAAATAAAATTGATTGTTATAGGCAGTTTGGTAATGCAAAAAATATTGGATTTGTATATATTTGCGTGTATGCTTATTTCATTTTTTATTTTTTTTCATCAATCATTTTGATGTTTTTTTTTTTTTTTTTTTTAAAAAAAAGAAAAAAATAAAAAAATTGGAAGTTTGTCAAATAAACAAAATTTAGGAAAGAAAATTGCCTTTCCATTCCAATGCAAAATGCTTCTTTTTCTTTTATTATTGAATTTAAAACAAAGGAAATAAATAAAAAACTTTTCAATGTTTTTTCACTTTCAGAGGGATATTAATATTAAATGAATGAATCCTTTTTCTCAGTAATACTTAAATATAAATTATATACAAAGAAAACAAAAAGAGAAATATTATTTGGAAAATTTTTTTATATTTCTTTTTCAATTTCCGTTTCTTTTTATTTTCATTTTGCTCAATAAATTTGCACTGAAAAAAGAAAGCAAATTAAGAAAGTAAATGAATTTATCATATAAATTCAAATTTAAGTAATTTTATTATAAATTCTATTTTTTTATTTTTTGTTTTTATTACATAATCAAATTTATTCAATATGTTTCATAAAAGTAGAAATTTATGGAAATTGCTTGTAATTTTAAGATAAAAATTCGAAAAATTAATAAAATGTAAAGAACACTTTCAGACTAATACAAATTACAATTGTTTCATTTAAAATAATTTAATTTATTACTTTATATTATTTTAATAATTCAATTATCAATTTCAAAAAAAAGTTATGATAATGAAAATCTTTCTTTTCATGTGGAAAAAATTAAAATTTCATATAGACTAATAAGGTAAAATTTTACAGCGAAATTCTTGTATCAGTGAGAATTCAAACTTGGAAAGAATAATTCATCAAGGTTGGGCCAAGTGGTCTGAATGGGGCCCTTGTTCTAATTTGGTTCGTTCAACTCTTTTCTCAAACTTATTGAATTATTAGTTAATTATCTCTGTAATTAAACAGTAATTTATTTATTTATTTTTTTTCATCGAAACAAAATTTCATTCATTTAAAAGAGAATCTATTATAGAATGAACAAAATTGTTTTAGTTAGTATTAAATAAGTAAGTAAAGTAAAATTTTTTTGATTTTTTAAAAAACATCGAGATTCTTTCAGTGCGGTGATGGAATATCAAGTCAGTTGAGGCGCTGTTTGGACCTACGATGTGTTGGACCAAACCGCCGTGAGCGTGTTTGTAACATGCAAGTTTGTTAATTCCATTATACCTTTTCTGTTCTTTCACTTTTTATTTGTAAAAAAAAAAAAAATCATACAAACAAATAATGATTTTCTTTCTTTAAATGTTACCTTTTGAAGTAGAAAGTTAGAAAAATATCGAAAAAAAAAAAGAAATTATCACTGATCAGCATTTTTTGATCAAAATTTCGCCTATTCATATGACTAAATTAATTTAATGTTTTAACTGATAACTTAATTCCACTAAAACAATAACGTTAAATTAATATAAAATTAAAAGTTATCTGCGACATTATAACCAAAAATATTTCAGCAATGTAACAACACTTCCTCAATTCATTCTAAGGAGGAACGTTGCTCAGAGTTAAATGTCATTGCTAACAATCCTAAATTGTTGTCACAGAAATGGGTGCCAGTCGAGAGTAGCTACCAGGTAAATAGCGCTCTTCAATTCAGCAATCTTATTAATTCCATATCTTTGGTTGTATTTTATTTAAAAAGTAGTAATGGCAGCAACATTATCAGATTATAATTACCAAAAAAAAAAAAAAAAAAAAAGAATTCTTTGAATAAATATTTCAATTTTATAAAAAACAGAAATGGTAGTATGGATAATGTTGTTATCTCACAATTTTATTATTGAAATTTGCTTTTCTTTTGAAGTTCAAATTTGCTTATTATTGAAGTGTATCGTGGTGTGTCGTTCCCTGAAAACTGGTGAAGAGAAGAAATTAGGAAAAATGGCTGATGGCAGTGCGTGTCACATCGAAGGATACAATAAATCTATTTGTGTGAATGGCATTTGTCAGGTCGCAGTTTATCCTATCAAATCATAAAAACTTGAAATTGAACTGTTTTTGAGTGGTCTGATTGATCTCACTAGCTAATCACTCACTTGATCTTATCAGCTAATCACTCATTTGATCCTATCAACTAATCACTCATTTGATCCTATCAACTAATCACTCATTTGATCCTATCAGCTAATCACTCACTTGATCCTATCAGCTAATCACTCATTTGATCCTATCAGCTAATCACTCACTTGATCCTATCAGCTAATCACTCATTTGATCCTATCAGCTAATTACTCATTCCGTTTGAGCATGTCGGTTGCGACGGCATTGTGCAGTCGAACGCTCGCTACGACCTTTGCGGAATATGTGGCGGCACGGGTGAAACTTGTCGGAGTACAATATTCCAGTGGAAAGACACGAAACACTTCTCACCTTGCGACACAACTTGCGGACCGAATGGTAAGTTCATTTAACTGAAATCTATTTGTTATAGTGTTAAGACGCATGGAAACTCTCCAAAAGATTTGATGAAATAGAACTAATCTTTACTTCTTACTTATAATTAATGAAGTAATACCTTAAGTTTTATTTCAAGTAATTAATAAAGTAATACCTTAAGTTTTATTTCGAGTCCTATTATGTATGTGACAAACTGATGAGCACTTTATGGACACGGAGAGTTCCTTACTTCAGCTTATCGAGTGTCAGTATCAGTATGCCAAAATGTGCGGAATGAACGAGTGGTGCCGGAACGACTTTGTGCTGACCAGCCTCGACCACGTCCACTGGTCGAGAAATGTCCACATATCGTTTGTCCATCACAGTATGCTTTTAGTTATTTGGTCAATTATGGGATTTCTATAAGATTTACAGATTTTAAAATTTAAATTTCTTTTAACTTATATTAACTGCTTACTCATTTCTTCTCAGTCTTTCAACATTTTATTTATTCTTTGAAAATACAACCTCTAATATTCACCAATTATCGCTTTTTCTTTTTTCTCCACTTCCTTCTCTCTCTTTCATCAGTTTTTTAAAAAGCAAAAAAAAAAAATAAAAATAAAGTTATGGAAATCTGAAACAACAATCATTAATTTGCTTATCTTAGAAGATACTTATGCAGTGATCTACCAATCAATCGATAAATCAGATTGGAATTATTTGCAGAAAAAAAAAATCAATTAATAAGCATTCAACAATGAAACAAATGATATTAGTTATATAAATGTAAACAATTTTGGCCATTGCATCGCATTAGAGAAATTCTGAAAACCGGAAATTTCATGAATGCTTCAATTTAATTTACAACTTTGAATGGTTTTTGTAGACCTATTAATGAGTGACCTTGGCTTTACAATTATGCAAATGAGGTTGACACTTCTTGGTTGGTCATTCTCCTTCCTATATTACTTGCTGCTTTCTTCTTCTCTTTTGACCTAACAAATAAGCAAAATGACAAATGAGTGGACAGAGTTATATCATTTTATCTTTTCACGTCAAAATTCCGTCCTCTTTGATCACTTCTTCACGTCTTTCTTTTGTTAGAAAAATTTTGCAGCCCAAAAGGATTCATTTTTCTCACCCTATTAGCACATGGTTCATTTACTGGACACATTCCGGTTCTATTAATTTTTAAAAGGAATGAAAGAGAAGGCCATTTATAGCAAAATCTGTATTTCCGATGTGGGAAATAAACTTCACCGGAATATTACCTGATAATTAACGTGAGAGAATGAAGTATGTAATACGATATGTAACAAATGCATAGTCGGATTTAGGAACAAATTACATAAATTCAATTCGAAAAAGCGGAAAAAACGATATTTCATAAGAGAAAACGGTCGACGATCAAACATAAATAAAGTTTTGATGAAGTTTCCTCAAAATAATTCAAAATATAAATTAATCTTTTTGCCTCTCAATTTGTGATTAAAGTAGAATTAATGCAATAAAATAATTTTACTGTTAATAATGATAAATACAAAATGATCTGCAAAAATGATCAAATTAGCATTTAGAAACAAAGAGAATAATTTAAAAAAAAAATGATTTCCCTCTTTTTCTTCAGGAAACGAAGACTGTCTCTTCCGGTTTCTCAAATTCATTTCGAGTTTTTAAGTAAAATTCCAAAAAGTTAAAACAAATTCCTTTCAATCATTGTTCAATTTTTACGGTCATTTAGCAAATTTATTTCCTTCATTCACTCTTTTGCATGAAACATTTCACTTTCAAAATGCTACCCAATGATGCATTCAAAATTTACGTTTGAATAAATTTCAGGAAAAGTTTACTCCTAACGAAATCCTTCACTTCTTCACTAGCAAAATGTAAAATTTTATTATTCGCATTATAAATGCCATTAATGCACTTCCAAAATGGTTTTGCAAAAATTTAGACTTTTTAAAATTACCTTCTACTATTTGCAGCTATAAATTGTAAACTCTAACTTAATTGAATTTCCCACCGTTTCTCAATTAAATATCCTATGTTTACTTACTGACACAAGTAAAAAAAAAAAAAAAATTCCCATTTTAAATTGCATTAGACTATTTTGAAGTGTAAATAATGTTTGCTTCAGGTACTAACATTTATCAGTATTAACCTTTGATCATCAAATGAAATGACAAAAGCTGATTAAATGAACTTACCTAATGGTTTCTCTAAAATGACATTCAATTAACACACAGCAAATGAACGAACGCATAAAAGTCCAAACCTTATTAATTAATTAATTAAATTTTTATTAAGAAGCGAAAGGTACACTAAAAGAGAGCGCAATTAGCCCATTTATTCCTTTTATCACATTACTAATACAACAAAATACTGAAAATATTTTCTTTTTCTTCACAAAAATGAAGAAAGAAAGAAAAAAAAAGCTTTTAACTTTTTAATTAATTACTCTAAACTTTTATTTATACAATTAACTAATTCCTTTGAATATTCCTTCACACTTATCATTGCCACAATTATAAGCTAAAAATAAAATTTATTCTTTCTAACTCTTCAAAATGACAACATTCAGCAAATTTGTCTTTGTACTTTTTTCCTATTTACTATTTCATCTGCGAACATTGAATTCCTATTTTGTCTAATTATCTAAATTCTACAGCGAAATAAATTTAATTATGAAAAATTCAATTTTTCATTTCTTTTCTTTTCCTTTTTCTATCATATTTTTTCATGGTAACACTACAACTTTAAAAAAAGAAAGAAAAAATTTAATTGTATGCTGCAGAAATATGCTACTCTCTCTTCAATTCAAATCACTCCCTTATCTTTTATCCAATAATACCTCACAATATCATTTGTCAAATTTTTTAGAAAATAAAATTTATAGCTAAGAGAGATTTGCATTCATTTCATTCTTTGTCATTTCATCTTTCATAGAAACTAAGGCAAATTCAATTATTTCAAAAAATTTCCCTTCAACTAAGTCCACTTATCAATTGGATGATTGCATCAGTGGTAATAGTATGATAGTAGTAGCAGTGATAATTTTGAATTGATGTACTTTCGAAAATTTTAGGCTCTACTTCAATGATTCAACGAAGTGGTAGAATTATCATTTTGTTAATTCACTGAGATTAAAAAAGTGTGAAATATTAGAGGAATGACCACTACGTCTTTGTCCACTATCCACTGTCCACTCGTCATCTTCTGCTAAGCAGTAGAAAGGTAGGAGTGACCGTCACCGTCACCTGCTCATCAGTCATTCGTCATCCTCACAGTACTATGTCCTTTCTTCATAATTCATAAAAATAAAACTTTGCCTTTTCGAAATTAAAATTTAACTTTGTTTATATTAAATGATTCCATTCAACAATTTGTCTGTCTGACAATGATATATTCCGGAAAACATTAAATCATTCCGAAAAATTCATTTCATATATTTCTATTACCTTCCAGAAATATTGAACTAATTACTGATTTCTGACTTCTTTTTCATTTCTTTAACCATAAAAATTAAATTACAATCTGTAAATTATTGGAAGTAAATTACAATCTGTAAATTACAAATTACAATCTGTAAATTATTGAAAGGAGAGAGGGAGAGAGAGAGAAGGAGGGAAAAAGAAAAAGAAAAACTCTCTCTTTGATGTTATTATTATTAATGAAGCTATTATTAACTACAACTGTCATTACTACTGCTGCGCTCTTCAGACCATCGATTACCGTATCATATCAGTAAGTTAACACTGATAATAAATCATTAAGTATCAATTTGATACCTGTCTGCACCTACTCTCGAGGTACACCTCACCTGCACACACACATATATATATAAACGATTGTATACAGATTCCTAGAAACACGCAGACCAATTTCCTTTTTGCTTTTGCGAAGTGTGTAGCAATTTATTTCTATCACTGTGCGACAGTTGCGCCATAGGGAAATTTGCAATTATGGTTAAATTAACAACGGTAGTGTAAAGACATGTGTATAATCTTTTATTGATAGATTGTGAAAAACAGCAAGTAGATACATTTTTTGTGGCGAACAAAGGGGAAGTTTTTTTGCAGCGGCGCAAGTGTCGTACGGGAATATTTGTCACAATATTATTATGGTTAATAAATGATATTTTCAGCTGCAGGTTATTGCAATCAAATTTTCTGCATGAATTTGTATGTCGGAGAGAGAGAGAGAGAAAAAAAAAAGAGGGTATAACAATTTTCCAGATTACAGTGTGTGCCGGTATGCTGGCAATGCGGTGATTTACCTAAAGTTTAAGTAAAATAACTTTCATTTCAAGAAATTAACTTTTACCTCTTTTCAATAACAAAAGGAATATTTTAATTTTAATTCTTTAAATAGCTTTGTATACATAATCTGACTGCAAAATTTCCTTCACTAAAATTTCTTCGTTATTTTCTCTTTTCTAAATTTTTTTCTTCACTAATTAACCTTTAATTAATTAAACCTGAAGGATGCTTTTGTATTATTATTGTCGGCAAATTCTTTCGTTTTCTTGTGAATTTGCATGTGTTTAGTAATAATTATGCTAATAGCATGATTTTATTGCTTTTACTTTTTAATTTATCTCACATTCTTTTTTTACGGAAAAATTTTTAAATCCAAATTAAAATAATTAATGTCAAAGGTTTACGTAATACATTATTCTTACGTAATACATCATTCTCACGTAATAATCCACGTAAATTTTTACTTCGTGTAGTAATGAGATTATACAGAATTAATAATACTTACAATAAAACAATTTAAAATTATATTCGTCTATTTTTGCATGAAGGAAAAGGGTTTTTTTTTTGGATAATTTTATCACAAAAAAGAAACGAAAAGCGAAAGACACAAATGAGAAACGCACTTTTTGTTGTGCAAAAAACTGTGAAAACGGAAAAAATGTGAGAAAACTTTTTAATTTTTTTGCATTCACTTCAAATTTTACTTTTTGAAGTGAAATATTTTCGGAGAAAGTAATAATAATCTAAGAGAAAAGAAAGTATTCGTTTAGTTAATGAAGGAATATTTGCTTTATGATATGATCAACTGGTAATATACAAAGGATTTAAACCAATAAAATGAAATAAATAATGAAAGAAGAATGCTACTAAATTTAATTTTGTGTTAATGCCAAATTTGATGTTTTGATTTAATTAAGAAATTCATAAAATTTGTTTCAAATGGATCGGATTGCAAGAGAAATTTCAAATTAGGTTAAATTCTACTGAGAGACAAAAATTCAAATTAATTTCATACACTTTTGTTTCTTACTACCTTTTTAATAATTAACATTGAATTTTCTAAAACATCAAAGAATGCAAAAAATCAATGAATAATTTATATTTAAGCATTGCATACCTTTGCTATTAACCTGTATTACTTCCTTGGAATGCAGTAAGTCATGCACTAACATGCAGCAAATGCAAAATTGCTTCATTAAGTAATATGTACTAATTGAGTCAATGAATTCGCAGCAAAAAAAAAAATTTCAATTTTTGTTGATTTGCATTTTGAAAATTTAATGTTAAATTATAAATTATAAGCAATTTAAGCATTGATTCTTGCTATCGTACATATTACTTTTCATATGTTTGTTTTGTAATCTTTTTTTGTTTTAGTTTTGAAAATGTTTAAGAGTAAAATTATTCGGAAGATTTTCTGTCTTAGATGGATGACCGGAAAATGGTCCGAATGTACAGCATCCTGTGATGGCGGACATCAGACTAGAAAGGTGTACTGCGTTGAAAGTTCCAACGATACAAGCGGAATTGTTGTGGAAAACCGGAAAGTAGATGATCAGTACTGCTGGCAAACCCATCGACCGGTATGATACAGAAAAGTTGGAAGGATGTGAAAGAAGCAATCATCCACCATCTATAATTAATTTAAATTTAAATATATCTTAGTTTAAATCGATAGTTATAGGGAAAATAATTGAAATTTTCAAATGAATTATTAATATTTGAATCTTTTGCAACTGTTTTCTTTATGATAAACAAAATTTCCGATCGATTCCATAATGTGACAAATACGACAATGATGTGTAACAATATGACTTGTCACAATAACAGTGACAACTTAATTTTACGCTTTAACACGTTGTGGCCACGCTTTCTGTCCTTTCTCAGACCATAGTAACGTATTGAAAAGTGAACTTTAGATTAAAATAACTAAACGGAATTCATTAATTGAACATAAGTTGTAATTCCTATCGAAATTCGTTTGGTTACAAGAAAAAGTTTAAACTATTTGGAATGTTCAGTTTCTTGTTTTAGAATTCTTTTGTTTTTTTCTTTCAGGCAATAAGCAGGAAATGCAATCGGAAAAGTTGCCCGAAATGGGAAAAGGGAGATTGGAGTTCGTGTTCCGTTACGTGTGGTAAAGGTTACCGGACAAGACAGGTAAACGTTTTTGAGTAATCAAATTAAAAGATAATATTTATCATTTATGGATGCATAATTTGAAGATGGAACAAATGGAATAAAATAAACTTAAATTATACAGATGAAATGAAGTAAAAGCAATACCTTTAGAGAGTTGAAATTAAAGACAAACTCAGTAATTAATTAATTAATTAATCAATCAATCAATAATTTACCCAAGAACAAAAAACAAAAAATACAAAAAATCAGCTTACAACTCCGATCGTGTCAGGTTGAGTGTCAACAAGAAGGTGAACGGATTGATGATTACGCATGCAAGGATACTGATCGACCGGATGACAGTCAACCGTGCTATACCGGTATCACCTGTCCAAGTGAATTCTACGATTGTTAGTCTTTTTTGAAATTTAATGAATTTCAAATGATTCAAGAAGAATCTCAATAGCTGCTGGTATTAATGCAATTATTTATTTAGGGTTAAAATATTTACTTAAAAAAATTAACCATTAAGCTAACTTAATGTCTAATTCAGCTTTTTAAGATGCTAATATAAGCTATGTCACACACTTAATTAGATTGTTAATTACTTAATACTTCTAATTAGCTAATTGGCACAATTTGATAAATTCGTATTTTTTGAGATTCAAATTTTTGTGTGCCATTTTCACATCGCCTATTTGTAACAAATAAAATTTTCAATAAGCAAAGTTATTATTAGAAAAGGAACACAATGATATTAATGACAATAATGATGACAACACAATAATAACGACATTAACAGTAATAATAGTAACAATATGAATTGTTCATGTGATAATATCAGTTAATGCTTCACTGTCTTCACTGTTAGTTTTAAGCAAAGACACATTAGATATGGGTAATAAATTTAAAATCCATTTAGAATCCTTATTAACTAATTAATTATGCTAAATCAAAAATATATCTTCCATATCTCAGTATGCAAATGATTCTGTTAGCAATATGAATATCGATAATTTTGCAAATATCTGCAATTATAATAACATTAACAATTTCAAATCAAATACATTTTAAAAAAACAAATAGCAAAAATTGCTGAAAATTTGATAAATTTTTGATGTTAATTTACCTAGACGATGTTAATTTACCTAGACGATGTTAATTTACCTAGACGATACTAATTTACCTAGCTGCTTAGTGCAAAGATTATAAAAAATAAATAAATAAAATTCAATACAAAAAACCGCCTTTTTTCACGAACATAGATATTACTAGAGTATCAAAAGAAGTATTTGTTTGTTTTTTATAAATCGATTATTCCCAAAAATATTATTTTAGGTCAAAAAGACCTTTTTGACCCGTTGATCTTTTTTATTTTTTTTTTTTATTATTACTATTTTTATTAAAAATAAAATCTTCCGATCTGATTATCCCTCAAGAATTCCTTCACTCTGTGCAATTTTACATTTATTACTGCGAAATACTTTCACATAGATTACAATATACTAAAATCTGGGATAAGGCTTTATTAATATACTAAAATCTGGGATAAGGCTTAAAAAACTTTATTAATGCTCGTTGAAATATGCTAATGACACATTCGTAATGGTCGTAAAATTAAATTTAATTAAATTAAATGACAAATCACAAAATAGTATAATTTTTGAAAGAAAAAATTGCTCATTGCCAGACAATTTCAAAAATTTATTCGCATTCTTTGACATACTCAAACGAACAAAATGAGATGATCATTTATCAAAGAATGCTTAGATAAGTTTTAAGAAAAAGCTGAAATTTGCATAAATTTGTTCTTTCATATTTCGTCGCTATTCTTTTTTGTATTAAAATAAATATTAAAATTTAACGTTTCCTATATTTCTTTTTTGAATTAAAAATTAGAAATTATGCTACGACGATTATAGCAATTGAATAGAAATAATTTTCTTTTCTTTCTTTTTTTCAATTAATAAAAGATGAAAGATTATTTGAATTATTTGACGAGAAATTAAACATTTTTATGTGCTTCCTTTAACTAAACTATTGAACAATTAAAAAATAAAATTAAAATCTCAAAATAGTTTACAACAATTCAATGTATTAATCATTGTCTTCTTGTGATATGATATCAGTACTTGGAAGTGATAAGGTCGTCCAGGATTTGTTGGGTTAAGGAAGAAGGAATGAATGAATGACTGCTAGTAATGGCCAAAAAATTATTAGCAAAAAGAAAGACTTCGATTTTTTGAATGAATGAAATTTTCTTCTTTTGAATGAATAAATTTGAACAAAGCAAACTGACGCGAATAATTCGTTTGAGAAAAAAGAAAAAAAAATTCCTTTGAAAGAGAAAAAAAAAAGGATTATTTGGAAATTAAAAGTTCTTTTATGCTTATTCCGCTTTCTTCAAATTTACTTGGAAAATTGTTTCAAGAATGCTTGCTAATGCTTTTCGCATGCAGGCATGCATGCATGCATACATGCATGTAGGATTTATGGGAAATATATGTATTAGCAAAAATTTAGCTAAGTTCAAAAATTAGAGATTTTGTCAAAATTTTAAAATACTAATTGAAATAAATTTTAAAAAATGTTAGAAAAATATGAATGAGACAAAAGGGAAAAAATTTTCTAATTTTAGAATTATATTTAAAATTTTTCTTTTCTAAATTTCTTGAGAGACCCGGAAGATTGCAACCGATTTCTTTTTTAGGAATCTAATTGTAAAAACCAGAACGGATGCTATAATAGAAATAATTCTGAGAGTTCTCGATGAACCTTAAGCATCGATATTGCTGGTATTCTCTCCGTACAGAATTACTGCATTAAATACTGATAAGAGATAACTGATAACTTTAAGCAAAGCTATAATTTCATCAAATATTTGTTACTTTAATTAAAAAAAAAGGATCGATTATGTCTGCAAATTATATTTAAATTTTTTAGCTTTTTATTTACAAATAATTCTGTTCAAATAATTTTTATGAGATGCTGTAAAACGGAAAGTTTCTTTAGTAATGATAATAATGATAGTAACAGTAATTATAACAATAATAGCAGTAATCATAATAGCAATCATAATCATTGTAATCTAACAGTGATAATAAAAGTAATAATTGCTAAGTTTTTCTTTTTTCCTAAACTAAATAAAATTTCTGTTTGTAAAAAGCGAAATAACTGTTTCGCTAAGTTAAAACAAAAAGTTGTGAATGCTTTCATTCGTTGATTGAAAGTATTTCAATAAAAATAAATCATTTCAAAACATTTTTTCAATCATTTATTCGAAAAAGAAAAGAAATAGAAATAGAAAAGTAAACTACGTAAGGAATAATTAGTTTTCAAAAGTTTATTTTAGTAAAACTGTCATACCAGCAATTTACAATGAACTTTGAACTTTGAAGATAAAACTGTAAAATTCTTACCTCTTCCTTTTATATAAAATATTTGAATTAAATTAACACTCTACCATTGATTTCTGAATTATTAGAAATTGGTAGCAATTTTCTTCTGGCATTAGCAGAAGTACAATAATTCACTAGGAATAATTTTTGTTGGTTAATAGTAATTGATCTATGCGACATCAGCGCCAAATCAATATTTGTGGTTCTTTTTGCTATTGTTAGTCCTTTAATTGTTAGTCATCCAGCAGTTCAATAATGATAAAATTTCAATTTCAGCAATTGTTGGACCTTCTGACATTTCATTCAATCGTTTTCGGTAAGTATTTGATACATTCTTTAACTTTTTAAATGTGCTAAATAAGCTTTTTTATTTTTTCAATCGATAAAAAGTTGATAAAAAGTTAAAAAAAAAAATTTATAAATGGAGGAAATTTCGTCTTTAATAAATTCACTGTTCATTCAATGTATGATAAATCTCACTAAAGTGTCTGCTGTTTTTATATTTTAAAATTATTAAGACTTTTCGTCTTATTAGCATCAATCCGCAGAGAATCTTTTATAACAGTGTACCAGATTAAGGCCTAACTTCCTTTACTCTTAACATCCATCTTGGATTTAAGGCCTAGTCCTAATATCATCCATCTACTTTTCTAATCATTTTTTAAATTATTTCAATGAATGCCATATTTAAATCCATCGCTACTTTTTTTTCCATTAAATTTTCCAATAAAATATTTATCAAATCGTTTAATATCATCGAACTAATTTCTTAATTTGCTTTTTATTATTAAATGCGAAATTTGGCGGTACTTGCAGGCGCTTATTTCAGACAAATGATAAATCATATTGGCAAGTAGTGTTTTACAGAATTCGTTGTGAACATTAATCAAAAAAAGAAAAAAAGTTTTAGCTTAATTAATGATTATATTTCAAAATTTTAAGATTAAATATTAAAATTTTAAGAAATAAGCACTCAAGGGAGTAATATATGCAGAAAGCGATGTGCCACTTAAATTTCCAATAGATTTCAAAGTTTTATAAGGTAGTCAGAGCTATCACAGAGTAAATACTTTCGTTACTTTGCTTTAATCCTTTTTTTAATTCTCTGATAGTTAAGCTTTTCTATCGATTTGCTGTAATTTATGCTTTTATTCTCTCAAAAATATTAAAATTTTCTGCAACAAAAATCTTTTTTCTTTCTTTTTTTTTTTTTTTTTTTTTTTTTTTTTTTTTTGAGAAAATCATTGCAAAAAAAAATAGTAAAAATTAAAATTCCCTAAAATAAGAAATGAAAATTTTGTAAGTACTTAAATGATTTGTCAAATTTGAAGTGTGAAGAAGAAAATCATAAGATTCTATTTTAGCTAATATTGACGCACATTTTACGTATTACCACGTCATTCAGATGTTTCATTTCACAATTGTTTATCACTTTTTTTAAAAAAAAAAAATAATTTAACAATTAACAACAAAAATGAGAAAAAAGTGAGAAACATTTTTCAGAGATAAACAAACAAAAATAAAATATTAAAACTAAAAAAATGTTTCTTCTAACAATTTCAGAGATAATTTAAATGTCTAAAGTAGCAGACTGTTAGTTTTTCCTTCAACATTTCAAATTTGATAAGTGTTCGTAGCAAAAGGAAAATCAGAAAAAAAGATCTTTCAAACTTATTCGATTATTACTACCACATTTCTTACCTTCATTTATAAAGTAATTACCTAACATTAAATTCCTAATATTTGTTTTATCGATTTTTTATGTTATATATATTTTATGAAATTTTCGAATTCTCTTCCCTCCGACACTTCATTTCCCTCGGGAGATTTACTTATAGCAGTCAAGTTGCTTGGAATTGTCGTTGTTTTCGATTTTTGACGAATTGTTTTACTTTTCAAATATCTGAAAATTTGACATATGTGAGCCATGCATGCTTTTACAAGTATCTTTCAAGAAAATTTCTACAGCTCATTTTTTAATTTAAAAATGAATTTACATTTTGTTGATCAGATGCGCATTTAGGAAAATTCAGCAATTCGTTTTTTTTTTTTTTTCTTAATTTAGAAATATAAGTTTTAGTTTTGTGATTTAAATGATGCGCTTTTCAGTTCTGTTAAAAAAAAAAAAACGGATAAGTGAGACAAAGTATTAAATTTTGGAAAGATCGCATACTTTTTGATTATCTAAAGATGGAATTTTACTACAAATTAACAAACTGAATCACAGTTTTACTTCCACTCATATTCTCTACCGGTTAACTCCACCGGATCAAGCTGAAAATCTCGGCGATTAGAATAAAACGGATTGTTTTAAATAAAAATCTCTCATTACATTTCCATTAATTAAGTAATTTAATTAAGAAAGAAAAGCATTCAAAATTTGATATTGCTTAGTATGCTGAATATCTGAATGAAATACCACTGTAAGTGAAATTTCATGATGACAAATGACAAATGTTAAGTTATTCTTTAAGTATAAATATTTGCTTTAACTTTAGCATAATGCTAGAAATCATCGTGCACTCATTTGCATGCATATTTGAACGCGTGCATGCAAATATGCAACGACTGAAATAATCAGTTTTATGGATGAATATAATATTTTCTGTTTGAGGAATTTTAATATCTTTCTGTAAAAAATTTTAATTCAATTGAATAAACAATGAAATTTTTTTTAAGTTATTTATTTAATTTGATGTGCAATCAAATTAAACATTTTTAATTTGTTTTGTTTTTAATTAACAATTCATCATTGCACTTTTTTAGCAAAGTAAACAAATTTATTTTAGATTTAAATTCCTTTTAATAATGAAATTTATAGCAAAATTCAGTTTTATTTTTGAATCTGATGTAAAATGTCATTTCTTATAGCATAGCAAATAAAAGGAAATAAACAAAGTAGTAATTAATATTTTTGAATAAAACACAAAATTTGAAATGAAATATATTCCCATTTCTTTTTCTATTAAAATTGTTTGTGCTATTATTTAAAGAGTACGTTCCTTTCTACCTTCATAAATCTTTTAGTAATATTTTAGTTTTATTTGCATTCTTCAAAAATTTCAATTCATTTCCCATCCATTCATTCGACTGACAAATGGCACTGAGCAATAATAAATTACCGTTTATAACATACTTTGTGCTTTATGATACTCTTACTATAATGCTACTTTAACTATTCATTGTATGCTATCATAATCCAGGCATTAATTTCGGGTAGGTCTGACTACCCGAGATTAATGGCATCAATCATTCGGATTTGCAATTTCCCGAATTCTCTTCCATCAAAACATCATCCCACCATGCAATATGGGCAATTGTAAATAGTGGTTTGGCTCAGCATGGAATGAAGAGGAATGTGACGGGTTGAAATTCGATAGAAAGAAGACAAGAAGCGCCGCCACTTTCCGCCATTACTGCCCAGAAGAGGCGGGGAAGAATGCTTGGCAGCGGTCCTGGTGCTGGTGGTCCTGGTGCTAGTGCTGGTAGTATTTCCATCCTTCATGCTAATATTCTTTTATCATACTGCTAATTACTACCACTGTACTAGTAAAGTAGGAGAAGCCACGCCTTAGGCTAACTTTAAAGAGTTAAATGTTGTTTCTCGCAATGCTTTCATATTTGTTTGGCCATTGTTACATACGAAATGTCTAGCCAAGCCTTAAACAGCCATCCTTAAAGTGTGCTAAAAGCCTTACTTATCCTGAAATGCTCACGTATTTCGGACAATTTGAATGTTACAATGATAAAATGATGATAATGGTGTTACGTCTACTTGGCATATGGATGCTTGCGGAATATGTCCGTGCGGATGATAATTTGTTAGTTTACCTCTTTTTTCCTTTCTTTCTTACTTTTAATTAATCAAAAATATAAAATAAGAAATCGTTTAAAAAAGAAATTTAACCTTTATGCTAATTATATACTGTTTTGGGAGTAATAATTTCATCGTTACCTTTACATAATTGAATGAACGTTTGCAGTATTATACTTATCTGTGAGATTGCTATGCTATTAAGTACTACACGTGTCACACGTAGACAATATGTAATGTACAATATACGTTAACATATTATACACGTGTCACACGTAGACAATATGTAATGTACAATATACGTTAACATATTATACACGTGTCACACGTAGACAATATGTAATGCACAATATACGTTAACATATTATACACGTGTCACACGTAGACAATATGTAATGCACAATATACGTTAACATATTATACACGTGTCACACGTAGACAATATGTAATGTACAATATACGTTAACATATTATACACGTGTCACACGTAGATCATATGGCAATGCATAATATACACACCGTCAGACGTATAAACTAAATTTGAATTAATAAAGTTAAAGGGAAATCATAATTTAATTAAATATAATAAACTGTGTAAGCTTTATTAGTTCAACAATGCAAGAATGAAGGGAGATGCAATGTCACATATTTGACCTATGTCATTGATCACTGATCATTGATCATTATCACTGTTCTCAACAGTTAATCACATTTATTATCACTGAATTAATAAATGGAATTGAATTATATTCCGCAAATTCGTTGTTTCATTCAAACTGTTTTATAAAATAAATTTTATCAAATATTTATGCAAAAAAAGCGATCCAAAAAAAAAAAAAAAATTCAATGCAAAATTCGATATTGTGATTTCTTCTTCTTTAAAACTTTGTTACATTTTTTTCGGATGCAGAATTTTATTTTTATCGTATGGAATTTTAATTAAATTTTAATAGTTAAGAAAGAGAGAAATTTTAAATACGTAAAAGTTATTTATGTATTTTTCTATAAATTAATCATTTAAATTACTTATATCTTTAGGCAATAAATTTAATATGAAATTAAAAATCAATTTTCCTCCGAATTTTTCTTCCTTTACTAATTAGATGTAATTTTTGTAAGATTTTAAAATAATTATATTTACAGTGTTAAACTGAAGTGTTACGAGACAATGATGCTTGTCTTATCTAAAATTCAAAACTGATATCATATGGCCGCAAACTCTGAGACAGTTTATCAAGGAAATTCCCGGAATTTCGGGAGGAAAAGTCTTGAAAATCTGATGGCACTGAGACAATAACAAATAATTGAGTAATTATCCAGAATGATTACAAATAAAACAAATTATCTCTGGAAGTTTCTCCGTTAAACTTAATTTGATTAAAAGATAACAGTGAATATGGCATAACTATCACATCCTTATCAGTTGGAATGTTTCTGATAAAAGCATAAGAGCAAAGTGATAGCTTTAATGGTCAAATGAAAGAGATCAGTCCGAAAATGTAAAGTAAAGTGCATAATGCAGACTATAATTTGAAATTTGAAGGGAGAGAGGAGAGAGAGAGGGAGAAAGAGAAAGAGTGGAAAAGAGAGGTATTATTGAAAATGTAAATTTTCTACAATCACCAAAGGAGCAATTACTTTGAATGTTAACGGCCATCATCTATTGAAGTGGGCTTCTTTCGTTTCCTTATTGAAAAGATTTTAGAAATTTCCTACAACAATAAGAAATGGCGAACAATTAAGTGATCAACAATAAAAGCAATTAATTTCATTCCGGAAATGTATTATAAGGATAAGAAGGGAGGAAGAAGCCTTCCGCTTTATCTCAGATAATTTTACTAATTCTAATAAATACTATTTACTATGAGGGAGAACTTTTGTTTCCACATAATTAAAGATTAACGGAAAGAGAAAAACTATTATTCATTTAAATTTAGAATAAAAACGAAATTATGCGAAACTTCCGGAAAAAAGGAATTAAGAATATTTTATTTGTATTCTCGAATGACAAATATGTGACATTTGTGCCATTCGAAATGATTGCTTAGAAATTTTCATCTAATTTTTTAATTTATTCAATCACTAAAATGCAATATTTGTTTGTTTTTTTAATCAAAAATCATAATAATAGCTGTTGAATAGTACAATTTCTTCTATTTCGCTCATCAGTAAAAACCAATAATTACACTGATAACACTAACTGATAATACTAACAGTATGTTTTTTTATCGCAATTATCTTTGCGATCTAGGAAATCGGTCAATGATTACTTCTACATTAGTTTCTTCAATATAACTTATTATTTCAAAGTAATTATCTGCCCTTCAGGTAAAATTGAATAAGCGTAAATCCTCTCATCTTATCAATCAGGTAAAACTGAATAGGTAAGTTCTCCTATCTTATCAGTCAGGTAAAACTGAATAGGTAAATTCTCCTATCTTATCAGTCAAGTAAAACTGAATAGGTAAATTCTTCTATCTCATCAGTCAGGTAAAACTGAATAGGTAAATTCTCCTATCTTATCAGTTCAAGAGTATGATTTGTATGAATGATTAATAATACTTAATATTCTCCCCGTTGTATTATCCCGGCAATACCCATTAGACCGAATAAATATTTTGCTGTGATACAAACAAATAAAATAAATAATTTTGCTCTTTATTTGTACAAACAATAGAATAGCAAATTGAAAAAGTTATTTAAACTTTTCAATCATTTGCTCTTATTGCTTTGATAAATTTCGCTAAGTCTTTCTTTCCTGACCTGAAATTTTGACCTGAAAGAAATTCTAAAATTTTATTTTTTTAAATAGAATTCCAAAAGAATTACTTATTCTTTTATCAGTTTTTGCAAATTTTAATTTTTAATTAAATTCTGCGCAAAAAAAAAAGAAAAATATGCAATTTTATAAAAACAGTCATACATCATTTTGTTATAGGATTTTAATTTTTTAAATATTTTCTAACTTACTTTACTTATTATGCGATCATAAGAACAATCCAAAACATTTTCAACAATTTTAAGTAGCATTTCAAATATGATTATACAAAATTTTTAAAATTTAAAATTAAAAACTATGCAGAAAATTTTCATAAATCTAAACTTAATTTAAACATTAGAATTACCATAATTTTTTATGATTTATGTGATTTCTGCAAAAAAACTCTCAAAATTAATTTCTTCTTAAAAATAATTAAAAATTCAGAATGATTGCTGATAATTAATAAATAATTTCTGTACAACAACAGAGATTTTATTTTTTTATTGAATTAAGTCTCTTCAATACATGTTGACTCTCACATCATTGTATTTTGTTTATTATTTTTTTGATTTAAATTTATTAAGCTGAAATTAAAACTTTAAAATTGGACTTTTTTAAAAAAAATATTAGAGTAAAATTTTAAAATTGGGTTCATCAAATGATCTAACTTTCAGCTACGTGGCCCAAGCACCATTTGCTAAGGCCTGGAATGACGAACAGCGCATCCAGCACGACAGTTTCGCCGCTTCGACATTTGACAATCTAATGGGTGGCAGTGGCAGCATGGGTTCAGGTACTGATGTTGGTGCCGGCGGTAGTAATGGTGCAATTGGTACACAACCACGGTAACTCGCTGCTTTCCTTAATACAATCCTTTTTTTCTTTCATTTTAATGACGCTGTGCATTACACAGAAAGTGCAAATTATTTGAACTTTTTTGACAAATAAATAATAAATTAAAAAAAGAAGTGTAATTTAAAATATGAATTGAATATTTAAATTTATTAGCAATAAATAAGTTGTTTTTTGAATAAGTGAAAAGAATTAAATGTTCTATTTTTGTTGTTTTTTTCTTTTTTTTAAGCAAAGTTTAGTTTCGGAAAAGGTATCATAATTAAATGAAAATTTATGAAAAGAGACATTAATATTAAACTTTTATTTTTCCAAAAATTTTTAATAAATCTTTTTGCTTTCAATTATATTTTTATAAGAATAACTAAAACAATAAGTTGCTTATTAAGGAAAGTTTATAAACATAAGAAATGGAATTTAAAATTGTTTCGCTATTTGGAAAATTGAAATTCACTACCGCTATTAGTTCATTTCTGCCTTCTCTCTTTCTCCCATTTTCTTTTCTCATTTATTTCAAAATTTTCATTTCACTAAGATAAGGTCTGATTAACTGATTTAGGAGAAATCAATTATAACTGAATATATAAAGCAGTCGTCGAAAGTGAAATTGGAGTGAAATTTTCAGGTTTTTCCCGGGTCAATGGGGTCCATGCTCAGCAACGTGTGGTCCCGGCGTAGCTACACGTACGGTTGAATGCATAGCTTTACAAGGAATCACCTCAAATATTATTAAACTGCCAGACTATGAATGTGAAGGTTAGAATAACTGAATTTAATTCGTTCCCTTCAGTAAATGAAATACTTCGACAGGTGAGGACAATGTCACGACAGGTGAGGACAGGACAGTGTCACTTCATCATACGAAGAGAAATTTAAGGTACGCCAAAACCAAATGCATTTCAACCGTGTCAAGTGCAGCAGTGTGCATTAAATGACGCAGATAATGAGCTACCTGTACGTGAACGATCGTTGACACCCACACGTTCATTCAAATGGGATTACGGTGACTGGACAGTTTGCTCTGCTTCTTGTCTTGGAGGTTACTTTCCTATTCATTTCAGACACTTTTAAGTTTTAAAAATATATTGACATGTAAGATTAGATGGTAATCATCAGTGATAAGAAATAATTGACCTGAAATTATGTCTTTACTGAACGTTCATGTAAGACTAATAATACAACTTTGAAATTTTACAAGGGCAAAGAGGACCAGACTGGTGGACAGTGATACAGGCATTACTACTGATAAGAAACATAATCAATCTATCAGTGATAGCAAATACATAGATCATAATGTAACACATCATTTATTGGACTTTGGCTAAAGTTTAATAATTCTAATTTTAGGTAAGCAACGTTCCACTCTTAGATGTGTCGATGTCAAGCGACGCACCACTGTCGCATGGTCATTTTGTGATGCCAAACAGCGCCCTGTTGATTTGATACGTTCTTGCAATAATGACCCTTGTCCACCGGAATGGGATGTTAGTTTTATTTTTCATAAGTCCTTTTCATAAATTTTAATTCCTTTTTTCTCTACAAAATATTTGATAACTCTTTAAAAATGTTTGCAAGAATATATTTAATCTAATTAATAATATTTTTTCAAACATAAATTATTGAAATTCAAAGTTGCTATGAGTTGGTAAATGACTGGACAGAAACCGTAGCAAATTAAATCTTTTGTTTACCTGATTGGTGAGAGATAGGAAAAATTTGAATTTTTATTGAAAAAATTAAAATTTCTGCGATTTAAGATTTAATTTTTTCTAGATTGGTGAGATGTCACAATGTTCACACACTTGCGGCGGTGGTTTACGCACTCGAAAGGTTTGTTCACCTGTCCACCTCAATAAATTTACTAATTCTATATTATTGCACACCCAAATTCTGAGATGAATTGCAAAGTACTTCACTTTGGTCTATTCCATAACTTTTCATTACTTATAACTGATAGATGAATGACACTCAAATATATCATAGTATTCAGGTACGCTGCGTACGGCGTATATCACGGACCGGTGGTGCGGAATCGACACTGATTCTACCAGATGGCCAGTGTCCACAGCCAAAGCCAATCAGCAACGAAGCGTGTGGCCTGGTAGATTGTCCTGCGGCATGGAAGGTTGCGTCTTCTCGAATTATCGGAAAAGGATGGAAGCACTAATTAGCTCACTCAAAGCCAAATTTCTCAAAATTAGCTTTAAGAGATTTGTTTGATAGATTTCAATTTAGACTGGTAATTGGGGTCAATGTTCAACAACTTGCGGTCCTGGTGAGCAACGTCGTGAAGTGACCTGTGAACAACGTGTAGCTGACGGTCAACTGAAACACTTTTACCCTCCAATACAATGCCGTCATATCGAGAAGCCACCAACTGTCCAACTTTGTGACTTAGGTAAATTAGAGAAGGAGAGAGAGAGAGCAATCAAATTTGAAAATGATTCAGTCTATATGCAAATCAAAATAGCAACAAGCTAATAAAAATGAACGAATCTAAGCCAAGAATAGACAAGGCTCTATAGGATAGTTAAATGAGCCTAGCATGGCTCATTCCTTAAGTACTGCATGAGAAGTCGAAGATAATCTGATAACCAAAAATAGATGAAATGAAAAGAAGGAAGGATTATTAGTGAAACTTGAAGGTGTGTGTAATAGCCTGGCTGATTCGACGTTTCCGGAAAAGGATGAGATTTCATCTCCGATGTCAACTTTGACATCACAGCACGGACATAGCCGAAAGTTGACACTAAATATAGGTGGCAGTGCAAAGCTGTTTGTTGGCACATCGCTGAAGGTATTTCTGCTCGATAATTATTTCTCAGTTAAATTATTCTTTACTGCAAATCACTGCAAAAGAGATTTTCATATTATCGTTGCTATCGGTTGGAAGTATTACTGAATTTGACATATTACTTAATTAGCTTTAATTGGAAGTATTACTGAATTTGACATATTACTTAATTAGCTTTAATTGGAAGTATTACTGAATTTGACATATTACTTAATTAGCTTTAATTGGAAGTATTACTGAATTTGACATATTACTTAATTAGCTTTAATTGGAAGTATTACTGAATTTGACATATTACTTAATTAGCTTTAATTGGAAGTATTACTGAATTTGACATATTACTTAATTAGCTTTAATTGGAAGTATTACTGAATTTGACATATTACTTAATTAGCTTTAATTGGAAGTATTACTGAATTTGACATATTACTTAATTAGCTTTAATTGGAAGTATTACTGAATTTGACATATTACTTAATTAGCTTTAATTGGATGTATTATTGCTCGAAATGTCGCAAATTATTTCTTAAATTACGACGCAACCAAAATATAAGCTATAAGTTACAATTTTTTTGTTTATTTTTTTTTTGTTGTATATTTATTTATTTTGAAAAAAAAAATTCTTTCTGTATACGAAAAATAAGCGACAAATTAGAAATTATTTCGAGAGTAAATGCGAATAACAATTAACACTGCAATTTAAATGCAAGCATTTGAAAGAATTATTTATTTTTTCTACAGAAAGAATTTTTTTTTCAAAAAAAAAAAAAAAAAAAAAAATAAATAAATAAGCGAAAATAAATAGGAAAAATTGTAGCTTATATTTTTTGATTATTTCTAAGATATCTGAAGGATAGAAGTAATAATCAAAGTATACTTTCAGGTGAAATGCCCAGTTCGTAATTATGCAAAGAATAAAATTACTTGGACAAAAGATGGGCAAAAGATTACGAACAATGGTAATTTTTATTGTAAACAAATTCGCAGAGTAGAATTTATAGAATTTCAGAAAATTGAATGATTAAAATGAAATCTTAGAGAATTGAAAAGGAAACAAAATGCTGGAATACTTTACTTTGAGTTTCATTCTTTGATTTATTTTATTTAGCGCACATTAAAGTATCATCAAATGGTGCATTACGTATTTTTCACGCCCGAATGGAAGATGCTGGCGTATATGCGTGTATAGCTAATGGCATTCAGGGGAATGTGACGTTAAGTTTCAAGTCACGAGAAAATAAAGTAATTGCTTTCTTCCCGTCATATTCAATTTTTACCCTAAAAAATTTTATTTGTAAAATAAATTACTGAAGAAATGACCTAAAATTAAATCTGTTAATTTTTTCAGGATGGAAATGTAAATGATTCTCGCTCAATGTTAAATCAAAATATGATAGAGAATGATGATTTGGAGAACGATCCGATTGCTGTTGATCATCAACTAATACAGGTATTTTCAAATTAGTAATATTAATATTCTCTTCAAGTTTTCATTTTGGGCAATTTTTTTGCTGCAAAATTTTTTATCATATTTTTTATTATTTTAGATTTTATGTAAAATATATGGAATTATTTTTTTTTTCAAAAAAAAAGATTTCAATTTTTAAATTTGGAAAAAATTTTTGTAACAGTTGCGATTTAAATTCTGAAGTTGCATTTCAGAAAGTGCGACAATCATTAAAAGACAACGATGACATTCGAATGTTGGAGAAATTAGCTGAAGTGACTGAACCAGGCAATGTTAAGGTAAACATTTCAACTAATCAATATTGATAATTTTGTTGATAATCAAACTTTGCTAACATATCAATTTTAGATTGATTATGCTACCGGTGAATGGTCAAAATGTTCCCATTATGAATGTGGGAAACCAGGACGAGCACAGGTAAATTGATTGGATCAAATCATATTTCTGTTTCTTTCTATCAATTTGCGACTAATTAAGATGCTCTAATTAATACTTTTAGGTAAGACAATTAAAATGTCGGATTAGTTACCAAGGTTCGGTTGGCTACCTGGATGACGACGTGTGTGAAAGTTTCGGTGTGATGCGACCACCTTCCTCGAGAAGTTGCCTTCCATCGCATTGCCCGCGGTGGCAGGCATCACCGTGGTCTGAGGTATCATTCCCAATGAACTATTAATTCAACCTAACGTTACTCTTAATTATTCGCACTAATTATCAGTGAATAAAACATTGATAAAAAGCAATTCTATTTTTCATTAGAAATTTAAGATATTCTTTAAATATTTTGGTGATTATTTCATAAATAACAATTTGTTTTTGCTTTAATTTAATTAATTCTTTAATTTTCAGTGTTTATCTTCCCGTTGTATCCGACATTCCACATCCATGCAAAGGCGTGAAGTGAAGTGCGCATATGAGAATGGTACAAATGCGCCATTTGAATTGTGTGATCGAGAAAGTAGACCAAAAGTGAAAAAGGAATGCATCAATGGTATCATTTAATTCGTTTTTGATTAGAGTTAGGAATGAGTGTATCACAGCAATTTCAGAGTATCTTTAAAATGTGTTATTAATTAGTCTAATTAGAACAAAAAAAAATTCATTAACATTTTCAAAATAAATCAGTGATAAATTAATTATCAGTACGATAAGTTGAAAAATTAATTAGGAAGTTAATTAGGTTCATAAATCTTTGAACATTTTGTTGATCTGTGGAAATTTTTCTCCAATTATAAGTAGTTTTTTTTTTTTAATTTGTTCGAATTTAATTTCAAATACTTTCAATATTTCATTTCCAAGTTTTTGCTGATCCTAAATTTTGGAAAATCTGATTGATGCATCTCTGCATCTATCCTGAAATACACTTCATAATTTATTCCTTTGTTGTCTTTTTCGATCACAGATTTATTCATTATGGTAAAAGGACTAAAATAGAATTCAGGAAAAGAAAGTGACCTGAAACAAATCGGGAATATATTTCATATATTGACAGGACAAAAATTTAACAATTCAATTTATCGATAATTTTTGTAATTAATTAGTTAAAATGAATAATCTAATGAGTTGAAATGTGCTGCATAAATTAAATTTTTGAACTTTTTAAAATCATTTTTCTTTTTAATTAAATTTTCATTATTTGTTTAGGAAAAAAGAAAAAACCAATTAAATCTGATAAATATTTTTTCCGTCTTTTCTTTTTCAAAACATCTGCTTAGAAACTTAAAGTTTAAGAAATATCTAAATGTCCACAATTTAGAAAAGTGTTAAATTCATTGCTAATAAATGTGCTAAAGAAAAGAATGGAAGAATTAAGAAGACAGTAGGAATAATTTTAAAAATAAATGAAAGCATTTGATTTTATAAATTTAAATGAAGCTTAGCTTAATGGCATTCAATTGTTCGTAGCATCGCAACTATAAAAGCTAAACAAGCATTCACTTCAAATGGGCCAAGGCTATTTGCAGTAAATATATGTATATCTGAGATCCTTTCTTGTCCTTGGCCAATAAAGAGAACGATTTGCTATTATATTTGAAAAGATGGAGCCTTTAACTATTCCTTCTCAATCTTTTTTCATTTTTTCTTTGGCTTGGTTTTGCCACTTTTTCAATTTATGAAAATCAATGAATGCTCATGTCTCATGTCAACTTTAGCATTTGTTTTCTCCTCTGTCCCAATCTAAATACACTAGTTTCTGGCTCATTTAAGGTTTTAGTTTATTTTCTTTGAGCCTAAGTTTTGTTATTCTTCGATAAATTTTGTTTCAACAAATGAATTAGTACAATGGAAAGTTTTTATGATTTTCCGAATTTTAACTTACAGAAATGGATGCATTCGATAGAAAAGACAATCAGCAAATGTTACTTTTGTACTTTTCAGCATTTGCTGGGGACAAGAATAGGAAATACTTGAGCCTAGAGACATTCATATGAAATTATCAACAAAATAAATAAGCCTAGTTGATAGAAAGAAAACCAATCTTGGCTGAAGTAAAATACTCTTTAAATATAATTGACTTTACACATTTTTTTCTTTTTTTTTGCTGACAAAAATGAATTAACTTTTAAAAGACAAATGCAATGCAATTGCAGTGAACTGTACGGCTGATTGGAGACCATCCGTCTGGGGACAATGTAGCCGAACATGCGGCGATGGTGGAGTGCAGGTATTGGCCTATATTTGTGTTGAAAAAAAAGAAAATTAAAAATTTTTTAGAGTCTGAGTGAATAACGTATAATGTATATGCTACATATTATTTAATTTCAATAGTTTCGTCTATTTCGCAGATGCGTTTGTTACGTTGCGTATGGCGTGGAACACGTAAACCAGCTGGTCGCAATTGTCAATCATCGTTGCGGCCAACAGCAATTAGAGCGTGCCAAGAAGCTAACAATTTATCTGAATGTCCATCAAAATTATCAACAGGTGCTGGCGCTGTTGTCGCTGCTGCTTCTAATGCTATAGTGGCATCCAAGCCTTTCCTGCCGAAAGGACTAGAAAATTGGCGTGGTTGGAGACTTTATGACTGGGCACCTAATAGCAATGGCCAATTTAGACGAAAATTCTAAATCTTTTCTCTCTTCTTGAAAAAGCGGAAAGAAAGTTTGGAAGAGAAAAAAGGAAAAAATGAAAGAAGCATAACAGTAATGACAAATGTTCAAATCATTGCTTTTAATAGCATTAAAAAATGCTTTGAAAGAGTTCAAATTTTGGAATTTAAATTAAAATGAGAGAAATAAGAGAGAAAGAGGAAAATATCAGAAAGTTTATGCATGGAAAATGCATCGAAAATGAGATTTGTGTTTAATTTTGTTTTGATAAATGCAACATTTGAACGAAATTGCAACTTTTATTCATGCAAATAGGATGAAAGTTAACAAAAGGCTTTAGTAAATTTATATGACAGTGATATTAGTGATAATTATAGTGATACTGATGACAAGAATAGTGATAATCAAGCATAACTTTAGATAGATTATGTATGTGTGTGTGTATGTAATGTGTATGTGTGTGTGTGTGTGTATGTGTGTGTGTGTGTGTGTGTGTGTGTGTGTGTGTGTGTGTGTGTGTGTGTGTGTGTGTATGTGTATGTGCAGATAAAATTAGTCGCAAACAAATGTTTGTAATTTCGTTTTTGAGAAATATGCGGCATTGATTAATAACTTAGTTTTCATATACTTTCCTGATGGACTGAAAAGTAAGAATGCAAAATAGTAAACAATTCCAATTTTTAGAGAAGAAATTTTTTCTTTTTATATTTTTTATTCTTTTTGTTTAAAACTTCTCATTTTTAAGCTTATCACTTTTAGTTTTTTAAGCTTATCACTTTCACATTCTAAGGCTTATCACTTTCACATTCTAAAGCTTATCACTTTCACATTCTAAAGCTTATCACTTTTACTTTTTCAAGCTTATCACTTTTAGTTTTTCAAGCTTATCACTTTCACCTTCTAAAGCTTATCACCTTTAATTTTTCAAGTCTATCAGTTTTATTCTTACTTTTTGCTTTTCTTTTTCTATTTCATTATAAAATATTACTATGGATAGCAAAATGCAATTGAATATCATCTATTTTGCATCACTATCATCCATACAAATTCTATCCATCAAATATAAATTTTAGGTTAGGTCAAAATTGATTTAATCTTTATTCAAAGTAGTTTGACCTTCTATTTGCTACTAATTCTAATTATTCAAATTTACCAATACACTCAAATGTTAGCATTGCTTTATCGATGAGTCAACTAATACTCTTACAACAATAATTTCATTTTTAAACAGTAATTTTGTTTATTTCATTGCAAATACAAAAATCGATTGCTTTCTTAAAAATGAAAAACTATTTCCGTACTTTATAATTTCGCTAATTTCTTAGCATTCAAATTGCTAATTCGCATGGGCATGGCTAACTTACCCACTTTAAAGGGTACACACACACACATACACACATTCACACTTTTTTCTTTGCTAAAATGATTTTACCGATCACAAATGTCTGATGTTTTCCCTTTTAGCAGTGTTTTTTTAAATTTAGTTTCAGTAATTTTCATGAAATTATCAATTACATTACTATTTGTTATGTATTTCGTACTATTATTATTATTGCTTATTTCATCTTTCTTTTTTCCTCGCTTCTCTTTACTTCTTAATTAAATTTTTTAAGTGATTAATTGTTTGATAGTAATGTGAGAAGTTTGGATGATCATACATAATTGGCCTCATTTGAAGATCAAAAGTAAAACTTAGCCAAGTAATGAATTTCTTGGAACTGACAAATTTGATAGGAATTAATCGATATGTGACAAGTATAATTGATTAGATACTTTGTAATAATCAAAAAAAGTTTTAGACTAGAAGAGGGTATTAGATCAAAAGTGTAGATTTGATTAATTTTATTCTATCAGTTATGTCTTCTAATATCTATCCAAAAACTTTTCTTCGTTTATTTTCATAAACATTTTCAATAGCTAATATATTTTTTCTTTTCTTTTTATTTTTTTGTATTTAAATTTGTAATATTTACTTTCTTCTTTTCACACTTATTTCAATTAAATTCAACAAACTATGCATTCCAAAAGCAATACCTGTACAGTTAGTTGCTTGTGCTTTAGCATCGTTTCTTTTGTTAACAATTTCAAATTCCTTTTTCTTTTGTCTTTTTTTTTTGCGCGAAAAAGCATTTCTTTTTTTTTTTTTTTTCAAATGCATATAAAATTACTTAGCACACAAACAGTATGTAATTATAATCGAATCTGATGGTAATTAATTCAACAAATTATTACTGCTTCATAACATTCTATTGAAGTGAACAAATGTTAATAATTAATTGCTTCCATTTAATTAATTTCAATTAAACTAACCGACTTCTCTGCTTGCCCATGCATTCCCCTCAGTAATTCCTTTGTTGCTTTGCTCATACACTAAAATCGTACTGTTAAATTGAAATGAATATAAAATTACAAATTTTAGTAATTAAAACTCAGACCCGTACGCGTCGGTGGTTCAGTGGTAGAATGCTCGCCTGCCACGCGGGCGGCCCGGGTTCGATTCCCGGCCGACGCATCCGGTGTTTTGCTTTGTTAAAAATGGGTGCAAAACGAAGTATCAATGACTTAAAGTAAACATTTGGATTGATGCAGCTCGTCACGCACGTGACCCGAAGTTCAACCGTGAATATTGCATACTTAACATTTAGCGGAATAATCTCTCATACTTTCACAAGGATTAATAAAAATCTTCGAAATGAGGGTATAATGGTTGTGCATTTGACATTATATTCTCACTGAAACATAAATAATTTTAGCCTCTTTTCCAGAGTTACTTCAGCATCACGTGTTACACGTTGATTACGTCTGTTTACAGTAAACAACGATGGTTATATTCTGCACCAATTCTGTTCATTTTTTGCTCCATTCTATCATCCCTTTTTCTTATCATCTCATAGCCACAAAATTCAGGCTCATTAATTTACATCCGAGCCTGAAGTAATTAATCCCAAAATTGCTTACGCTCGAGCAATTTCATTAATTAGAGCAATCTTTTGACATAATTCTAAAAGTGTGAAGAATTTGCTGTTTTAAATATATTAAAATGTTAACCCAAGCAAAAAACAATTAACTAAAATCAAAGGTACAAAATGTTAATTAGTATTAATAACCTTGAAAAGGTAAATAATGTGGGATACTGTGCCGAATGTTCTGTTGTTTAATGAGACTTTTCTCTTTCAATGTTGTTTTTTTGTTGTTATTTTTAAACAAAAGAAAGAAAAGGAAAAAGGAGAACGATCGAAAGATTAAAAAGTTTTAGACAACAGTTCAAATATGATGGCTGATAGTAGTTGTCTCGACAAATCAAGATATTGCGAGATTCTCAAAATTTTCCATTCGTAAGTTATTCCAACTTTTACGCTAATAATTTCGGTTAAAATGTAATAATAATTTTATTAACGTATCTAACGTAAGTCGTTGACGAAAAGTAATGATAATTTAATTTATTATAAATATTTTTTTTTTTCTAAAAAACTAAAATTTTTTAAGCGTTGTTAAATTTTGTCAAAACTATTAGTATTTTTGGAATATTTTTTATGATTTATGTAACTGGAAGAAAAGAAAAAAAAAAGGAACGAAAAGTAAAAATTTCGATTGCTATTAGTGAAAAAAAACAAATCTAATATGTAAATTTTAAAATTTATTTTTAGAATTATTTGACGAATTATTTCTCTATTTTTTTTGTAAAAAGTGAATATTTTAAAAATTTCTGATTACTTTTCAGCTGTGATAAGACGGATATTCGAGAGAGATGCTGTTATACATGTAACTACTACAAGTACGAAATGGCAAATGAAATTCAAATGATGTAAACAATGATATATGTAATCAGCTGATAAACTGTAATCAACTGATAGTCAACAACTGACGCACGTGAAAGTCAAAATTTGCACGTGAAAAATTTATCAGTGCTTTGATAAAGTTCTTTCTTTTTAGATTTTTATTAGCAATTTTGTTCTCTTTTTGTTGGATATTAAGTGAAATTAAATGAGACATATTATGATAAAGTGACGATGTTTTGCTTTTTTATTGAAAGTGACACATAAATTTGTTAGATTTACTTTTTAAAATTTCGAATTATTTCATTTCCTTTTTTTTTTCCTGGAATTTAATTGATTTCTTTTTTTTTCCAAAATTTAAATTATCCAAAGCAATTGTATTTTGAAATGAAAGAAATTTAATGTATAAATGAAATTGGAATTTTTCATAGTAAAATTTAATTTCCCAATTGAAGAATATCTGTGACATTGTTAATGTAATTCTTGTGCTAATGTAATGTCATTTAAAAGAAGAAATGAAATTATATACATTGTCGATTTGAATTTTAAAAAGGCTTTATCATTTGCCTTTTTCATTTCATTTTAACAAATTTATTGTTTATTCTTTTTTTTTTCTTTTTGTGCTTTTTCATTTGCATTTTTAGAATGTTTGAAAAATTTTTATTTTCGAAGTAATATCGTACACCGAACTGTTCCTTCTAAACTGTTTCTCTGCAACACTCTTTGGCAACAATGCACCATTAATTTATGATAGCTAAAATTAATTAATTAATTAATTAGAATGTTTCTGATTTGACAGTGAAGTGATGAGATGAAAGCTTTCCAACTTATCACTGTCACACGAACTAATATGCTAATATGATGAACCACTATGATCTCAAATATTTCTATTTTGAATTTAATGGCATATTGAAATGGCAATTATTTCATTTTCTGTGCTATTTAATGATAAATTAATTAATTCTGTCCGTTCTGTAAGAATAGTAATTAATTTAGCAAAAGTAAGTAAAACTGATATTAAATAGTAAGTAATCAGTCTCTCTTTTCTGTTCTTCTCTCTCACTTCACTTCTTTCTTTTCACAGAGCTAAATTCCATATTTCTCTCATTGACATTATCAAATCCTCAAAATCAAATTTACTATACTTTTTAAATTGTTTCATTTTTGCTGATTCACATTTATATAACTTTTGCAAAGGCAATATTCAAGCCCCATCACTTTTCATTAAATTATTCTATGCAATTTGTATTTGTGTAATTTATATATGCAAATTTCTATCGCACCACAAAAGCATAGACAGTGAGATTTAAAAATACTGCAAAGATTCAACTTGCAGTTGTCAGTGTGAATGGATTGAAATGAATCGAAATGAAATGAAAGGAAATGAATTGAAATGAAAGGAAATGAATTGAAATGAAATGAAATGAAAGGAAATGAAAGGAAATGAATTGAAATGAAATGAAATGAAAGGAAAGGAAAGGAAATGAAAGGAAATGAAATGAATTGAAATGAAATGAAAGGAATTGAATTGAAATGAAATGAAATGAATTGAATTGAATTGAATTGAATTGAATTGAATTGAATTGAAATGAAATGAAATGAATTGAAATGAAATGAAAGGAAATGAATTGAAATGAAATGAATTGAAATAAATTGAAATGAAATGAAAGGAAAGTTCAACGATCACATAAATAGTTATTGTCTAACTTTTATTTGATCGATTTAATCGATAAATACTGTAGTATTCGACTCAGAACAGTCAGTTATGAATGAATGATAAATAGTTAACTGATTAACTAATTGATCAATTGACTGATTAACTGATTAGCAAATTAACTTTCTAAGGTACTAATTATGCTTATATTATGCTAATAATTTAGCATTTCTATATTGCTTCTATCACACATTGATTTTGCAATGTTTTTATTTGCATCTAATTCATTTCTTTGTGCTCTTTGTGCTTTTTTCGAAATAGGAAAATCGACTAAACACTAATTAATTTATTTATCATATACGAAACTAATTAAAAACGCTCACTAATGAGGGAATTTTTTTATTCTGCTTTTTTTAAATTTATTTTCGCATTTTTACAAAGGTTAAAATGTAAAAGCAATGTGAATTCACCTCTAATTAATTGTATTTATCAGTGAAAGTTTAAAATCATTGCAATAAGAGAAACATTCATTGAATTAGCTGTAATTCTTTTCTTTTTAAAAAAAAATTTCGTTGAAAACAGCAATTTCAATAATAATTTATATAATAATTCAATAATAATTTACATATATATAATAATTTCCAATAATAATTCCATTTTGATATTTATGCATATTTCTAACTTTTAGTAATTGCTAGCATAATTAAATCGATAATTACTAGTTTTCTAGTATTCTGTTAATTAAAATTTAAAAATTAATTGAATCAATTTGGCCTTCGTATTACCATATTATTTTATATATACAAAGAAATATATAAATTTAATTATAAAAATTCCATTGAATCAACTACGATGCCTTGTTCTGGATTTCTTTTTGGTAAAAGTATAAAATTTAAAACTTTCTCTTTTCGAGCATTTTTTTTTTCAGATGAAAATACCAAAATATTGAATTATAAATCTTAAAACTAAAAATTTAATTAATGCAAAATAACTGTTCGTGCTGCTTAGTAATTCCACAACGTTGATGATAGCTTTATTGTTTTATACGATATCGTACAATAATCACACTTATTTCATTATCACAATATTACGCCTATTTCAATATCACGTTTACTAAATATCACGCTTATCGAATATCACGCTTATTTCAATATCACGCTTATTTCAATATCACGTTTATTAAATATCACGCTTATCGAATATCACGCTTATTTCAATATCACGTTTATTAAATATCACGCTTATCGAATATTACGCTTATTTCAATATCACGCTTATTTCAATATCACGTTTATTAAATATCACGCTTATCGAATATTACGCTTATTTCAATATCACGTTTATTAAATATCACGCTTATCGAATATTACGCTTATTTCAATATCACGTTTATTAAATATCACGCTTATCCAATATCACGCTCATTTCAATACCGTACACGGCAACTTACAATAATAGGAAACAAATGAACAAAGTGATAATTAAATAGTACCAGCAGTCCTCTAAGGCATCGTTCTTTCGCTCCGTCACCGTTTCTGCTGCGCCATTACGCACGTCACTATCGTTGAAGTGAATTGCGTGAGGGTTGTTACGTTCAATCAGGACAACCGGTTTAGCTCCTTGTGCAGTGGCAATATTCAATATTCTATCAGATCGGAAGATCAATACGATATTTCCATATTGCAAATTGAATTGGTAAATTAAATAAGCAAATAGAAATTGGATTGAACACATTGCGCCATTGTAAACAATGCACACACTTAGCCATAAATAAGTGTTCAATCACTCATTAAAGTATGAAATGAAGAAAAGTCGTTCACTTTGCTCTATGCAATATTCAAATAAACAATCATTGCACTACAAACTGTGATTATTTACAAATTAAAATATTGTAAGGATTCTGATGCAACTAGAGAGAGAGAGAGAGAGAGAGAGAGAGAGAGAGAGAGAGATGAATACTTTAGATAATTTATATTTTTAATTAACATTTGATGAAAGTAATACTTCTTAACTTTTTCTTTTCAGTTATTACAGAGTGTAAATTAACTCTTCATTATTCGATGTGACCTTTGAATGAGAATTTTTCTCATTTCGCTTTTCTTTTTTTTTTTTTTTTTTCACGAAACTTTTTTTATTTATTATCAAAAAAGAAAGCAAATTTACTAGTACGATAACAAGTAAACAACAAAATGTGTACATAAATATGTTAGATTCTCAAAGGATGGCAGTAAATAATAGTCTGAAATTATATTTCTGCGCGTGATTGTCCAGAAACTGAAAGAATTTAATTATTTAATTGGAATATGACTAATAGACTAAAATACCTAATATAAGTATAAGAAATAAATGAAAAATCAATGAAACGTTACACAATAAAAGCAAAGTAAACAAAAAAAAAAAGTTACTAAAATGATTGCATAGGGTATCACAACTAACCACTAACCACTGATATGCACTGATAACGTTTCCAACATTTTATGCTTTTCTTATCAATATGAATTTCCTATGAAAAACTAATTATTTGTAATTAATAAAGAATGCATAATTATCTACCGTTCACTCACATAAAATTCATTTGAAACTTACCATCTGGTCGCCATATACTTCCTTGGTCCATTAAAGCTTAAATAGTGACACAGTTAGGATTAAAGTGATAAAAAGGAAAATGGAAAAAAAGAAAGCAAAATTATTTGACAGCAATTAAAGTTTAACTGAAAGAGCAATAAAAAAATTATTTGAGTCAAAATTAAAATTTTAATTCAAATTCCAATAAAATATAATGTGACTATCTATCCTTCAATTTGTTGCTACTGCATTTCTTATCACATTCAATCAATTAATCAGTTTATCAGTAATTCAATCATTATGTCATTGAAAAAAAAAATTAATGTAGTAATTAAAATTGGAAAATTTTGAATTATGATAATAAAATTTTCTTAAAATCAGTAATTTAAATGAATGGACACATTTCATTGTTTACAAAGCGTAAATTTCTAAACAATTTACTTTAATAGCTACTTTTATTATAAAATTTCAAAAGTTTTTCACAAGTACAAATGTGAAGTGCAAAAATGATAACTGCAGAAGTAAAATGCATGTGTGCATGCATGTGTTTTTATTTATGAATTGCCATGCTTTTCATTTCTTTATATTCAATAACAAAAAAACAAAAACAAAAACAAAAACAAAAAAAAAGAAGGAAAAACAAAAAAAGAAAAAATTTAAAAATTTTAAAAATAAATGTGAAATGGAGATTATTAGCCACAAACATGAATGGAATACAATGGAATCAAACGAAATTGCTGCCAAGAAAATTATTTGTAGCTTTTAATTCAACTAATTTCCTGCTATGCTAATATTTAAGCGTAAAAACGTCAAGTACTCTCACGTAAGTGCAATTAGTTATCTCATCTAATTATCAGACGACAGTTTTGCCGTTGTTCTAATCTCAAAATATTTGATGTATCAATGTTTAATTAATTGATTTTATGCTAACCTCAAAATATTTCACGCTTTCAATTTTCATTATTAATTCGTTCGCTCAGACCAATTGATAGCGATGATTTATGCCTAAAAGGTGAAAATTTCTATTGATAAATTTGATTTCAATTTATTTGAATTTTAGTTTTGTGCTTTAAGTCGTTGAAATTGATTTAACGGCTAAGCAATGGAAGATACGGCAGCTATATACTATCAAATTTCGATCAAAATGATAAAATAATCAAATAGTGAAAATGATTTGCTTGAAATTGAACAAAGGTAATTTTTATAATGCAAAATATTTGAAAGCTGAAAAGAAGAAAGTTAATTCACTTATTATTTTCATTTCATTTTTGATAATACTACAGAATTTATTTTAAAATATATCAAAATTACTGGGAGAAATTCATTTTTTATTTGTATAATGTAAACAATTTGTTAAGACATTGTCTACTTATTAAGCCATTGATATTACTTTCATATATTTGAGAAGTTTGAATTAATTAATCTGACAATACAACTCACTACGATTCTTCAAGTTCATTCGAATTGAAAGAGAGAAAAGTGTCTATTAAAACAGTATGTGAGAATGATTGCAAAAATAATTGTTATAATTTTAAATAGGTCTGAATCTGTGACAATAATATGTGCCTTTTAATTCCAAAAAAAAAAACGAAGAAAAAGGAAAAAAAATAAGAGAAATTAAAAGACCACCTGTTACATCATACCTCAAAAATATTAAATTTCAAAAAGAAAAAAGTATTTAAAAGAAAAGTAAATATTTGGAAAATTTTAAAGTTTAAAGGTTTAATAGGTAGCAATGATAATAGAATGCAAGAAATTGTGAAGGATAATATATGAGTATTCATTTTAAGAATGAAAATGAAAATGAAATCAAAAATATTACTTAAATTGGAAATCAAAAATAAGCAAAACTTTTCTTTCTTTCATCTAATTATCACCCGTTATCTCATATTCTGCTCAATTAATGCTTAATTTTTACCATTTTTTTGTGCCATTTAGTTTATCTCATTCATTTCACTAAATTTTTTTGTTTAAAATTTTGACAGAACCAATCAATAATTCGTATCTTATATTATTATATTCATTAATATTAAAAATTATGAATGTTTTATAAATAAATTTTTACAATATAAATACAACGTTTTTTTATCTTGATAAGCTTTCTTGCTTTCATACTATAATAATAATAATAATTGATTTTTTCCCAAATAAAGTTCATAGTTCATTGAGGGAAATTTTTGATCGAATAAAATATATGTAAATGCAAAAAAAAAAAAAAAAAATGGAAAAAATGAAAAAATAAAAAAAAAAGAGAAGAAAGAAAGAAAAGAAAAGTTAATTATAATTGCCGGTTGTATTGCTGTTGTAGCGAAGTGATGGCTGAATCATCATTTGCATCAAATTTACACCACCCGTCGGTATTCCTTCCATATTTTCTGCAACATTTCCATAAACTAACAACAACTCTCTCTTTTTTTTGGCCAATACTTACTGTTACTTTCCGGAATGATTAATTTTACGGACAGAAAATATATGCCAATTTCTGTTCATTTCATTTTTTATTTCACAATTATTCTCGACGAACAGAGAAAATTGTTGCAATTTGATATCCAAAAAAAAAAAATAAAATAAAATAAAAATTACATAAATAATATGCTAGATTGGTTTATTATTTTGCCTTCTTATCAAATCTCAAATTGACTAAAATTCGAAATAAAATCGTAATTTGTAAAAATTAATAAGTCTGATCGAATTTTTCACAGTCAAATCCCAAATTTGGAAACTATCCCCAAATTTGTTTTATGTACTTTTTGCACCATCTGCTTTATTGAAAAGAAGTTTTTTGAAATTCCACAGGATTTCATTATTGGAAGTTATGCTACGAATATTGAAAGTAAACAATGGCCTATTGTTTCCATCCCTAATTGTTATTATAGATTTGAAATTAATTCTTTGAAAATGTCAGTGTCACTGTTATTGTCATTGTCATTGTCATTGTCATTGTCATTGTCATTGTCACTATCACTGTCATTGTCATTGTCACTGTCACTATCACTGTCATTGTCATTGTCATTGTCATTGTCATTGTCATTGTCACTATCACTATCACTGTCATTGTCATTGTCATTGTCACTGTCACTATCACTGTCATTGTCATTGTCACTATCACTATCACTATCACTGTCATTGTCATTGTCATTGTCATTGTCATTGTCATTGTCATTGTCATTGTCACTATCACTATCACTGTCATTGTCATTGTCATTGTCATTGTCATTGTCATTGTCATTGTCACTATCACTGTCATTGTCATTGTCATTGTCATTGTCATTGTCATTGTCACTATCACTGTCATTGTCATTGTCATTGTCATTGTCATTGTCATTGTCACTATCACTGTCATTGTCATTGTCATTGTCATTGTCATTGTCATTGTCACTATCACTATCACTGTCATTGTCATTGTCATTGTCACTGTCACTATCACTGTCATTGTCATTGTCACTGTCACTATCACTATCATTGTCACTGTCATTGTCATTATCATTATCATTATCACTATGTTTGGAAATAAAATAAAATTTTGCTGTGTGCATTAACTCACTTTTGTATACTATTTGTAACGTAAAGGAAAAAAAAAGATTAAAAAAGGACCTCAAATTGCAAATTACTTTTGTATTTTGTCAATAAATCGCAGAAAGTGCAAAGCAAAATGAATAATAATTCCTGAAGAAAAGTGATAATAAAAATTGTTAGTATTGAAATGGTAGAAGAGTTAATTGTAATTTTTCATTAAAATGACAGAAAGTTAAATAACTAAAAATACAAAATTCACATTAATATAAAGTTAAAAAAAAAAAATGAAATTACTTATATTCAATAAAAAAAAAAGAAAAAAAGGAAAATTTAATAAATTTTTTAGGCAGATGAAACAGAATGAAAATGAAAAGGGAAAAAATATCACAGAAGAAGAAATGATAGCTTAATTTTTTTGCTTTTTCTTTTTTTTAAAGGTTTTATTTTCAAATAAAAAATTCAAACAATTAGTTTTTTTGTTTTAAAAAATAAAAATTTTTCTTTTCCAATGATAATTGTAATAAGAAAAAGAAACAAAACCTATTGACACATTTAGATAGCAGGAAATGATAATATGACACAAATAAATGATAATATATTTGTCTTTTCTTTCAATGAAATTAATAATTGAAAAAAACGATCAAAGCGAAAGTCAACCAACGATTAGTTCAAATGCTTTAATGAGCAACAAAAATTGATTGATTGATTCATTGATCGATTGACTGATTGATTGATTGATTGATTAGAAATAGAATGAAAGTTAATTGTTCACATTGAAAAAAAAAATGATAGTAATTAAATAGGAAAAAATTCCATTAGAAATGAAAAAAAAAACGAAAGAAAAGGAAAGTTATACAATGCAATCATATTGAAAATACCACAACGAAAATATTTTTCATTTGGTATTTTCAATATTTTCTTGTGATAGTCAAAAGACAAAAGCAAAATTCATGCTCCTATTGAACTAATTAACAAACGAAACTATCATCGAGCCATGCTAATTAATCAAATCCGTTAAGATTAAATTTGATCTGATAAAAAAATTTTTTCTAACATAGCTTCTTTATCCTATTATACTTTTACCTATCACATTAACTGATTACTATTTTATCAAGTTAGCTTATCACATATCACATAACAGAATGATAGAATTGAAAATGTTCAACCAAAAAAATCAGAAAAAAAAGAACGGAAACGTTACTTTCTCTAGAAAACCATACCCACTCCTTTTTACTAAATAACAACAAAATGCATCATAGATCAGTGATTAGCTTATCAGTGTCTGTCTGCTGAGTGCTACTACAAGATGATAAGCCTATCTCTGTACACATCATACCACATACCGCCAACGAATCCGGCCTTCCATCTCCTCGTCGTATCAGCCGGCTTACCGCGCGGTGATCCGCGTCGCACCGACGTTTGCATCAAACACAAACTAAAATTTTCCGGTTTTTTTTTTTTTTTTTCATTGCTGCACAGAATTCAAACTTATTATGAATAAAGCTGAGGAGATGTTTACGATAAACTTTCTGTTATCACTGCTTAATTAATTACTTATTTAATAAAATTAGCTATCGAAAGCTAACAAACGGTTAATGAATCGAATCCGCTAACGTAGCTAAGAAACCAAGGATATGTTATGACCACAGCTAATGCTATAGTAGTATAAAGTCAAAAATATTTTCAATATGTAATAGTCCATCGTATATAGAAGCCAAAACTCATTGAAAAGCTTCGGGTTAAGGGTCAATTGATATCTTTAATTTGCGTGAACCATTCTGAATTTACCAAATGTTGTTATATTTTACCAAATTTTGTTATATTTTAAAATATCTAAACCAATAGGCCATAAGCATTTAGCAGAATAAGTAAATACGACTGTCAGAGTAAGTAAGCAAGGCTATCAGAGTAAGTAAGTAAGGTTATCAGAGTAAGTAAGTAAGTAAGGTTATGTTAGGGCCTTACCCGACTGTCATTAGAAGACAAAGCAAGGCACATATGATAAATACAATCATTGCCCAGTCCGGTATATGACTTCGAGCACGTGGCAACGTATATTCTTGAGAGAGCGTTGCCTCAAATCGATCCAACAGATTTTCTGTCACCTATCAATTTAAAATTCAAATTTTTTGATTTTTTTTTTTTTTGAAAAGTTCATATCAAAAGATATTTTTCTTTTTATAGTATTTCTTTATGAAATAATTTAAAAGTATTACTATTAGTAATTTTCTATTCAATTTTCTTCCTCTTTCTAAGTGCTTTATACTTTAGTTTCGTTTTTACAAGGTGAAAAGTGAAATTTATTGAGAAAAGTAATCATTAAACCAGAAAATATTGAAGTAAAAAATAAATATAATTAATGTCCTTTGCATGAATCATCAATCTTTTCAAATTCTTTTATTTTTATCTTTTTGTTTTTTTTTTTTAAATTTTAATATTGACAATATTATGTGATTAAAGAAAATTAAAAGAGTGAAGAGATATTTACCACTTTTAAGGAATAGCCATTTTCAAAATTTATATTTTCTGCTTCAATAATTTCTTGCAATGGATCGAAGTAATGTTGTCGTTGTTGCTGATTCATCGAGAGGTCATTATTTGGCAGTGAATGGAAGGGGTCAATCTTTTCTCGAACCAATGAACCGTATGATGCAAAAATATACTACAAAAAATATGACAGCACGAACAATAATATTTTCATTTTTCCTATATCATATGAGAATTTCTCGTTTTTCAAATTTTACTTACAAATTGCTTACATTTTGTCGAAAATTTGTACAACAGATATATCCATTCTTAAAGTCGTTTTCCGGAAACTCACCGGTGTTTGCTGTGCTGTTCCGGATGCTAAATACGATAATGTGCTCCTACGCATAAGCTGCAAAATGATTATTTAAAATGGAACTTAGAACTTACTTGAAGGAATGTTTACAAAATATTCAACGATCAAAAGGAATTACTTATTATTCACCTGATTTGGCCTTTTAAGTAAGATAAAAAACAGAATGTCCTCGTCACATTCACCCATTAACCAACGTTCACGTAATAAACGTGCAAAATTTTTACCGTAATTTATTATCGATTCTCTAAAAAAAAAAAAAAAAATAGATTTTTTTTAAAAATAAATTTCAAAAAATTTTATTTATAAAAATAAAAGAGAAAAAAAATTTTGTTTATAAAAAAAATAATTTTTTTTAAAAATGAAATTTTCAAAAAAACGAAAATTTTATTTATAAAATAAAAGAGAACAGCAAAAAAAAAAATTCTTTTAAGCTTTTTTTTTTTATTTTTTGAAGAAATTCTTTATCAAATTTTTTGTTTAATTGAAAATGTTTAGATTACATTTTTTCAACTTACAAAATTTAATTTTTCTTTTTTTTTTTTTCATTTTTATTTTCGAAATAGTTTCTTTGCTTGCTACTATTATCATAGTTAAATATTTTTAATCATTGAAATGTCTTTTGAATTTTAGAAATTAAATGTAGAAAAGTGAATCAATCTAAAAGTTTTCAATTCCATTTGTCTCTGTTCAGTGATATTATTATTTAGAATATTTGAGAGGAATAAATAACTGGAATGAAATTTGAATTAATTGGAAATAAATTTAATGTTTAGAACCTTGTCGAATCCATTAATGTATAACTTTTCTTGTAACTCAACAATGTTTTATTGGTTGGACAAAATTCACGACTGCAAATATGTTAATTTGAAAAAAGTGATGAAAAGTAACGATGGGAAGAATTTAGGGAAGAAAGAAGCAAAACGATTTATTTTCTTTAGCTAACAAATTTCATCCAAATTTATTTCAATTTCTAAATTATTATTTAAATATATCATACAAAACTTCCAAACAAAATTCTTAATTATTTGTCATTCTAACGTAAATAATTGTCCCAAATGTATTTGTAAAAAAGTAAAAATTCACAATGGCAATGGCCAATTTAAAAAAAAAAAGAAAGAATTATTGAATGAAGAAAAACTTCAAAAGACATTTAAACATAATTTGAAATACCTGTACAGGTGTGAAACACCAGATTCCACTGGAAACATTCGCCTTAAAAATGCAAAGCCAAATCGGAACCAACATGGCTTTTCCTATCAATTACTTGTCTCTTTCATATTTTATCATTCAATTTTTCAATATATTTTAATTCCTTTTGAAGTAAACATTTTAAGTTATTCAGACATTTTATAATTTATATCAAAAACAAAGTAATAATTTTGTAAAAATGCTGCAAGAAGAGTCACTGATCATTTTTGATTATTCAATTAATTGCTTCATTTATTATTAAAATATAAATATTCAATAAATTGCTTACTTATTGCTTACCGAATACCTTTAGCAGTTAAAAATAAACAAATTTGGTTTAAATTGAATAAATAAAACATACCTGATCAGATGCACAAATACAAGATTTGTTTTTACGATTGTATATACTGTCGAGTTTGTTTTTGATAACTTCTACTGTAAATTTAAAAAAAAAAAATTTAAGTTTAGGTGATTTATAAGAGAAATCAATTTGACCAATTAATCAATTAAATCAAAGATTCTTTAATAAATACAAAAATTATTTCCATAATTCAGAAGCTACTCACTTTCTGACATGCTAATCACCTTATCAGGGTCACATACTCGAACACTTTTCCTCAAATTTGCATCATCGATGCCACAATGAATTGTATCCGACAGTAACGGATAGGCACACGGTGTAATTGATAATAATCTTTCTGCGCTAAAATTAAATTTAAAATTTAATTTCGGTGCGTTGAAATTAAATTTTAAAAAAGTGAATTTGCATTTGTATAATAATGTAATATTTTAATTTCTAAAAAACAAGAAAATTATCAACGATATTTTGCAGTTTGCTGGAAAAGATGGACAATGCGTGGATATTTGCATTTCGAATTGATTTTAAATTCTATTAAAAAATAAATTATTCAACTGAGCAAATAATCAATGCTTTACTATGCCAAATAAGCAAATAAACTCAGAAAATGTAAAAGGCATTGTTTAATATATGGCCATTCATTGATAAAGAAAGAACTCACTGATAAAGGAAGAGCTCACTGATAAAGGAAGAGCTCACTGATAAAGAAAGAACTCACTGATAAAGAAAGAGCTCACTGATAAAGGAAGAGTTCACTGATAAAAGAAGAAATAACTGACAAAGAAAGAGCTCACTGATAAAGGAAGAACTCACTGATAAAGGAAGAGCTCACTGATAAAGGAAGAGTTCACTGATAAAAGAAGAAATAACTGACAAAGAAAGAGCTCACTGATAAAGGAAGAACTCACTGATAAAGGAAGAGCTCACTGATAAAGGAAGAGTTCACTGATAAAAGAAGAAATAACTGACAAAGAAAGAGCTCACTGATAAAGGAAGAACTCACTGATAAAGGAAGAGCTCACTGATAAAGGAAGAGTTCACTGATAAAAGAAGAAATAACTGACAAAGAAAGAGCTCACTGATAAAGGAAGAACTCACTGATAAAGGAAGAGCTCACTGATAAAGGAAGAGTTCACTGATAAAAGAAGAAATAACTGACAAAGAAAGAGCTCACTGATAAAGGAAGAAAATACAAAGTAATCAGTTTCGATAAGCTTACAAATATTTCATTATAACGGCAATTATTTAAATGAAAATGAATGTGTTAAATGATAATACATTATTTCATATTTTGATATTTTCCAATATTGTTTGTGCAAATATTTAAATACTAAAAATCGCTAAGAAATAAAAAGCTGAAAAGTATTTGTTGCCAAATTGCAAATAGAATTCAAATTAATTTTGCTACTTAAAAAAATCTAAAAAATGTCGCACTTACCATAAGGTTTGGATGATTGCGCTTGCAGTACTAATTAAAAATACAAAATGAGCCAAATGATTGCTTTTGTCGCACTTCGAAATATTTGATACATTCGATTGGTAGTACATTCTCCGCCGTAAAATCCATTAAATCAAAATTTTCATCGTCTAACGACTTTCAACTAAACGATGCTTTTTGAATTGAATGTTCATCGATTTGAATTTTTCCGGAATTATTTTCCTGAAAAAAAAAAAAAATGTGTAGTTTTATTCAATGTTGTACCTCCGCAGAGAATAAAATGCTGTCAGTTTATTAAACTTTTCTTTTCAATTAATCGTTTCCTATTAAACTGTCATCCAATTAGGACACTATTAATTGTATGTTATGATCAAGTCATTTTCAAAATTATCAAAATATTCATAAAATACACAGAATGATGTAAATTTTATGAATTAGAAAAAAATTTAATTTGTGGAACAATTTTGGAAATCGATAATTGCACAGTTCAATATTATACACTTCTGTGTATATTTCTATTTTAAAATTTAAAATGCCATTAAGTAATAATTTTTATTTCTTACTGATAAAACACAAAATGTATTTATAATCCGCCAAGTATGCTAAAGAAAACTTTGAACATATTAATTAAATTTTTTGCATTTATATTATTTGTATAATTAATTATTGATTAAAATGGAATGAAACTTTGTTGTTTTTTTGTTTCATTTTTTTTTTTGTAAATTCAACTTTATCCATATTTTATTTTCACTCATTTTCTTGCTTCTCATTTTGTTGTATTCAAATCTTTTTTAAATGGGAATATTTTTTAAGAAAAAAAAATTTAGCTATAAATATTGTCGGAAATAAAATTACTGTAAATAAATGAGAACTTTTCTAAAGAAAATTTTCAACAATTAAATTTGTAGTATTTGATCAATTTGATCAAATTTTTTTCTTTTTGGTTCCATATTTAATCATTTCATTCAAATTTCTTTTTTTTTTTTTGCAACAATTAAATTTGAAAAGGGAAAATAAATTTTGCAAATACAAATTTAATTTATTAGTAAATTAGATTTATGTTATTGCTTAAAAAATAATTATGTGCTAGTAAATATCGCATAACGAAACTGAAATTATTACGCACTTAAATATTAGATCAAATTAGCTGTCAAATTGTTTTCCTTTTTAATTTTTATTTTCATCCTTATATGATAGAAAATATTTAATTAATTGATTAATTGGAAATAAAAAAAAAAAAAAAACGAACATAAAAAGAAAATAAAAATGAAAAAATTGCTTCCATTTATTTCACAATTATTTAATGAAAAATAATTGAGTGAAAACAGAAATGAAAAAGTTTCAATATTCAAAATATTAGCTTTTTTTTTTTTCAAATAATTCATTTTATTGAGAAAAGAAAACGTTGAAATGAAAATTTCAGAAAATCAAAATTCTCCTAAAAGTGGCAAAATGAGCGGAAAAGTTGTTCGAGAATGAAAACGAAAGTTTGATGACAAAATCACATTAGAATTGATTTGTCACTCTGTCATCTTTTGAATACTGAAATTGGCCATTTTAACTAAAGTAATAATTAACAAAATTTACTTTTCTCAACTAATTATTTATTTAATTTATTGAATTTAGATGTACAAAATGCGTAAAAAAAAAGCTTTTTCTTTTTGTTTTAAAATAATCAAAAGAAAAAAAAAATAGTTCGAAATTAAAAAACAAACAAAGACAACAAACAAATTCAAATTTTGTAAAAGAAAAAATGGAAGTGAACTATTTTATAGCAATCTTTTAATGTGTATTATTGAGAATTTTAGTAATTTAAGGAGAGAGAGAGAGAGAGAGAGAGAGAGAGAGAGAGAGAGAGAGACTATAAACAATTAAGCGATATGAATAAGTTTGTAAATAGCAAATTTGAGAAGCACTTCATTCACTTAACAATGAATAACAAATAAAACTTTTATTGTTAATTCTCGAATCTTTTTATCCTTTTTTCCTCTCTTCGAGACTTTAGCAAATAATTAGCTCCAAAACTTTCCATCTTTTTTTTATTTCAAACAAAATTAATGGAAATGGTTGCAGAGAAAAGAAATTTCTATCGAATAAAAGAAGAAAAGAAATTGAGAGCAAAACTAAAATTTAATCTCTCATATATTTATGACTTACAAATGGTATTATCTTGATACTAAATCTTATTTATTTATATTCCTTCCATGTAAACAAATCCAATTTGATTGTTTTACATTACTTTTAAGAGTACGTCACACGTGACTCTCTCTTATCTTTGTTTTACGAGTATTACGAGTATTATTTACGTCAAATTAGTAATGAATTTGAATTTATTCATCTCAACAAAAAATATTTGTTTCATCCTTAACTATAAAATAAATCGAACTTTTCAAAAGTTTGACGTTGAAATAAGAAAAAAAAAAAAGTATTTTCTAATTCTAGACAAAGAAGAAGAAAAAAAGCTGATAAGAAAAATTAAAGAGAAAAAGCTAAAGAAAATGTGCAAGCGACAACTGCGCATTTTTTTTTTTTTTGGAAATTTTTCAAAATTTAATCTATTTATAAATGTATAATTAATTTCATCGATAATTAAAATCCATCAATTAAAATTCCATTTATGGCAAAGATTTCTATTTCGATTATCAATTAACAAATGTATGCATAAAATTGATTGCCACCTAATTCACTTACAATAATCTCAAATGCTTAGTGATAAGAATGATTCAATGAAATGCTTAGTGATAAGAATGATTCAATGAAATGCTTAGTGATAAGAATGATTCAATGAAATGCTTAGTGATAAGAATGATTCAATCAAATGCTTACTGATAAGAATGATTCAATCAAATGCTTACTGATAAGAATGATTCAATCAAATGCTTACTGATAAGAATGATTCAATCAAATGCTTACTGATAAGAATGATTCAATCATAAATGAATGAATGAAATGTCAAATAAATTGCAATTATTCCATGAATTTATCATTATTAGTGTTAGTGTTATGTTATCAGTTTTAACAAATATCGTTGAAATTGTTTATCTACAGGAAAAGGAAAAGAAAAAGAGAGAGAGAGAGTACATAGAGCATAGAAAGAAAAAGAAAAGGAATAATTGAGATTAAATTAAAGATTGAAAAAAGAATTAGTAAATAAAACGGAGATGCTTCTTCTTTTTTTTTTAAATCGAAACTTAGAAAGCTAATATTATTAAGAAAGAGAGAGAGAAAGAAAAGGAAGAGAAAAGAAGAGAGAGACAGGAAGAGAGTATCAAAAGTGAGAGACGGAGGAAAAGAAGTTGAGATAGATGAAGTGTGTGTGTGTACAGACAGATAGAGATGATAGATAAAAAGGAGAGGGTGAGAATACATAGAATTGTATCCTTTGGGAAGGAATTTTTTATGAAAATTATTTTTCATTTGAAAAGAGTTTTCATTGGGAGAAGAAATAGAATTGGTGGGTAGAGGCCTAGCAAGGAGAAAAAAGAGCCTGAAGGCTCCCTGCATTTTATACTTTGCCAGGGTCTGGCCACCGGTCTCCATGCCAAGGACATGTCATCAATCCCTGGCCAACTTCTCCTTTTTTTCTTTTCCTCTCTCTCTCGCATACAAAAACACACATTCAGTCCCCTAATAACCACTAATTATCCATTTTCCTTTTCTTTTTATTCTTTTATTCCCTTTTTCCTTCTTTCTTCCTTCGTTTTTCACATGTTTAAAAGACACATACACACATACACACATGCACACATACACACATACACACATACACACATGCACACATACACACATACACACATGCACACATACATACAATTCAATTTTTTAATGAGATGAAAAAGAATGGAAAATTTTCAATAAATGCCAACAAACAACCCTTTTTCAATTTGCTTTAAAATCCGACTGTAAAAGATTTAATTATCAAATCTGATCGATTGATCAGTTCGTTTAAACTGATCGAATGAACTGATCAATCGATAAGCCCTTTCATATTAATCCAACTTAGCCCTACAAACACAATATTAAACAGTAAATTCATTTAATGCTAAAAGCAAAATGCAAAATAAAACGAAATTTAAATTAAACACAATGATTAAAAGGCAGAATAACGTAACTCTGAAAGTAAAATGTAAAGTAAAAGTAAAGACCTGAAATGACCTGAAATTCATTTAATCAGCCAGATGTCCAAATTGGGGTATTCACATTTTATTAGCTCTCAAAGTGAATTGAAATTTTGATTAAATCTCATGAAAGACTGGAATTTTTTAGCAAATAGAACAAAAGTCTAATAAATGTTTCCGTTTATGTATGATTAATAAAATTTAAATAATTTCAAACATTAATTAAAACCTTTGAAACGAATGCTAATAACTCATCCAATTTGTGTTAAAATTGAAGAAAAAAAAAGACAAAAATTGGATAACTTTTATTACTTTGATGGAAATAATAATGTGTGAGTAATTCAAATCATAGATTTCAATATAATTTGTTAAATTTATCTATCATTTTCAGTTATTATAAAACAAATATTCTTTGTTAATTAAAATGATAGCATTATGTTTTAGATAAAATAAGCTTTGATGAAGTAATTAGCTTTTAGTTAGAATTGTTTCACTCATTAATTTGCACATTTATTTGCAAAACAAACTATAATTATAATAATTTGTTAATATTTGTTTGCCTTTCTAATTTTAAACTTTCAAAAAAGCATTTTTATATTTATTTTTCTATTCAAAAACTTTCGTCGTTTGATTAAATCTGCAAAACAGAAGGGTAAACTTTAATTAAAAGATAAATTAATGCAATAAAATAAATAAATAAATGATACGTTTGTAAAATATATGTTTGTATAAACTTTTATGCAAATAATTAATTATTAAAAGATTAGTTAGCTCAAAAAATGATTGTTAAAATGTTTAGAAATACTAAAATAAACAATCACAAAAGAAATAGCTGTATATAATATGATTTATAAAGTTACAAATCATTTTAAAATATGTCTAAAATTCGAATTTAATTCTTTGCTGATTGCTTTAAGGTTTGAAATTTTGTTTTATTGACAAATATAGGAAAAGAAATAAAAGGATTTAATTTCAAGTTGATTAAAAATTTAAATTGTAACAAAATTAATTGACAAAGCGATTTTTTAGGAATTCGATTAATTTAATTAAGTTCGATGATAAGTTAGGAATTAAGTATAATCTTATGCAAATTAAAATTTTTTTAATAATCATAGTATAAGTAAATCAAATGAAAATTTTGCACAATTTTTTGTTTGTAATTGAATTTGCTGAAATTTAAATTTTTAATAAACAACTGGAAAAGTGAGTAAAAAGAGTGGAAAGGAAGGAAAACAAAATAGTTACTCCCAAATGGTTATACTTAATAAAATATATTTGGGAGGGATATTTCAGAGAGGCAAAAAAAAGAAAGAAAAAATTGAAAGCAACGAATTTAAGAAATAACTAGCAAATAATGCTAGGAAGAAGAGATTCTCGACTTTTAGAAGAAGAGATGAAATATGATTCTCGACTTTATTTAATAGCCTTGAAAAAGCAAAAATTGTTGTGGAAAAATATTTTTTTAACTTTATTCGTTGACATTTTATACACTAATTTTAGTCAAATATTTCAACGCTAAGAAAAGTTTTTGATTAAAAAAACTTTTATTAACAAAGATTCTTTGATTATCAGAAATAAACAATGAAATTATGAAATTTTTTTAAAAAAAAACTTAAATTGCTTAAGAATACTCATAGACATAAAATTATGATAGTTTACAGAAAAAGAAAATCGAATTTTTTTTTTACAAAAATAAATTTCTTATTTTTTTCATTGTTTGCTTTGATTATTGCCGAAGTTTACAGACATAATTAATCAAGCAGTGACGATTTTTAAGTTATTTATTTAATTTAGCTAATCTTATCAAAATCGCGTTTCTGACTATTTATGATAATTTCAATTCCATTTATTAATTTTTGGTTAAATATTTATGAAAAAATTAATAGCTTGATCTCAAAAAAAAAGAAACTTTTTGTATCAAATTTTTTACATTTCTAAAATAATTGATAATAATAATAATAATAATAAATAATATATAATAGTAATTGTTGATAAAAACAATTAATAGTAACAATAATAAATAATAGCAAAGAATAATAATAAATTATATTTTATTTTATTTTATAGCATTTGCAGATTTACATATGAATGAAAATTTAAAAAGAAAAAGAATGATTTCTTCAGTAAATATTTCATTTTGTGTTTTTGATTCTTAAAGAAGCGAAATTTGTTGTTATAAAAAGCATACAAATTGCTGTGCAAATAAAGGTGCAAAATTTGTTGTTATAAAAAGCATACAAATTGCTGTGCAAATAAAGGTGCAAAATTTGTTGTTATAAAAAGTATACAAATTGCTGTGCAAATAAAGGTGCAAAATTTGTTGTTATAAAAAGTGTACAAATTGCTGTGCAAATAAAGGTGCAAAATTTGTTGTTATAAAAAGTATACAAATTGCTGTGCAAATAAAGGTGCAAAATTAAATTTGATCCTTTCATTGCCTTTTTTTTCTTTCTTTTTTGCAAATTTAAAATCATTGAGGCATAATGGAATTAACTTCCTTTAAAGTATTAAAATGTTTCATTTAAATTTTTCCTTATCGATAATAATAATAATAATAATAAAATCAATTCTTTAAAGTATTTTTTCTCTTTTTTCAATTCTAATCATTGCAAAACTTTTTTCTTTCTCTTTTTTTTCTCTCAAAAAGTATAACGGAAGGAATTAAAAGATTCGAAAAAAAAAAAAGGAAAAAATGCTAAACGATTTCTTTCAAAATTTTTATTTTATTTTTTTTCAAATTTATAATCAATCATGCATGATGCAATTTACTTCCTCTAAATGTGTTGCAACAAAAAATTAAAAAATAAAAATCATTAAAAAATGTTACATATGAGCAAAATAATCACAATTTACTGTATTTTACAATTTTTGTAAAAAAAAAATTTTATTTCAAAAAAATATTTCAAATATTTCAAAAAAAAAAAAATATTTCACAATTTTTTGTGAGAAAAAAAAGGTAAAAAAATAATTTGTAAAAAATAAAAAAAAAAAATGTATTACATTTCATAAATTTACATTACTTTCGAATCATATTTTAATTATCGCTGATAAGAATGTTGATAAAAATTTGTTATCAGCCCTAAATACTACTCCAATATAATATAATCACTCAATTAAAAAATTTTGAAACTTTCTTTGAGTTTGAAATTTTAGAGACTTTTTGGAAGTTATATAATTATTTCTTTTTTTTTTTTTTCATTTGGATAAGTTATACATAATATTCAATTATTTAACCGTGTAACTCGCAGATAAATTTTACAATTTAATTATCTACTTTTGTTGCAAAAAAAAAAAAATTAAGAAATATTTTTTAGTGATTTTAAATTTAGAATAAATCAAAGATATATAATTACCATTTTCGAAGGCTTTTTGAAATGGTATGGAAATTTGATCGGTCGCAACAATTTAAAAAGAAAATCTTAACTGTTTTTAACAGTTTTGAATTTCAAATTTACTATCTTAATTAAAAAAGCTAGAAAGACATTAAATATTATTGCAAAAGTAGTAATAACAATAAGAACAAATAATATAATTTTAAGCATTTTTTTTCTTTTTTTTTTTTATACAATTATTTTCAACGAATAGCAAAACCTGAAAAAAGCAACTTAATTAGGAGCTTAATTTATTAGAATTATTAATTTAATATCAAAATGAAAAGAATTTAATATTCAAAGTTTCACGGTGTGAAATCTCGAAATGACTACGATGAAAAATATAATTTTCTCTTTTCACTTCGTTTACTTTTTAACTTAAACAAATTAAAGTTTATATAATTAAAATTGCATTAAACAAATATTACTTTTTATATTATGTGACTGTAACTATTTTAGTAACAAATGAAATATTTTAACAAAAAATGCATATAGTAACTTTCAATGGAACAAAGTGTTAAAATTGTCAATCGAAAATTAAAAGATAAAAGTCAATTCAAGGAAGTAACTAACTTTGAGATTAAATTACAGGGTATCTCAAATGGGTCAAGTCTTTATCACCTGAACAGTAGATGATATCTATCTGATCAAATCAAATACTTCAATTATGACTTAAAATATTTCTGTGATAAATGAGGCAAGAAAGATCATTTCATTTCTTTCCTATACAATTCATAATCACTTGATGATATCAGAGCAGAGCAACTGATAATTCCATGCTTATAATCAATGTATTTCAGTGATTGAAAGTTTTTTTCCATGGAAAATTTGTAAAAAACTTTTCTGAACCATATCAGTTCATTATCATTAGAATACTGAACCATATCAGTTCATTATCATTAGAATACTGAACCATATCAGTTCATTATCATTAGAATACTGAACCATATCAGTTCATTATCATTAGAATACTGAACCATATCAGTTCATTATCATTAGAGTATTAAGTGAAACAGAGTTTAACTCATAAAATGAGTGAAAGCATTAAAATCAGGAATACTTCAGAAAAGTTCATATAATATTAACTTATAAATTGAAAATCCCTCTCATTTCAAAATTTACAAATTTAATCAATTAAAAATTATTATGAATATGCGATACAATAAATCACATATTTTTTTTTTAATAATAATAATTAATAATAATAGCAATAATAATAATAAATGCAAATAGGTGTGCTATACATTTATTCCTTCTAATATTAATAAACAATATTATTATGTTTAACATAAATGTGATGAAGGATAGCAATATTGATTGATTGATTGATTGATTGAAGTTGCTGTTAATTTAAAATAAAATAATGACAATTTGAGAGTAAGTGTTCATCTATTTATGGCATAAGTGTTCATCTATTTATGACGTAAGTGTTCATCTATTCATGACGTAAGTGTTCATCTATTTATGACGTAAGTGTTCATCTATTTATGACGTAAGTGTTCTGTTATCACATAAGTGTGCATTCTTTGATGGATTCCAATCTGCTGTTTTTTGTCGCCATTTTTCATAATTCATTTCCAATTGTGTAAGCAAATTTGGAAGATTTGAAAATTGCGTCCAACACGTAAATGCTTCACGTGCGAACATATCAATAAAACCGCATTGCGTTAATGGTACGTTGCATACGTTACGATCAAATAATTCCATCGTCAATGGTAAACCTTTTTCACGTTCTTCACTTGTCTAAATAATTAAGTAAACTTTAGTTAAAATAAATGAATTATTTGATTAAAAGCTTAAATTAAATTAATTAATTACTCAATCAATTCTCACCACTCATAATTAACTCTGACATCTAATTAACTAATTAATTAATTAAGAGCAAATTAATCTCATAAAAACCTGATCGAAATATTCTTCCACAATACGCATCGCCCATTTCTCACACAATTCCCATTCTCTCGTCGGATTGCCAATATCGGCGCATTTAATTAGCATTCGACAAATTGTCAGTGATATGTTATTCTCATTTTCTTCATTATCCTATATTTTTCTTTTTAATTTGAAATGAAATTTTTGAGAAAAATTTTTTGAAAGTTTTTCAAACAAAATTTTTTCAAATTAATAAAAATTATTTCAAGAATGAAATCAAAATTGATAATATTATTGAGTGTAAATTAAAAAATTTAACATTTTTTGTAATATAATTTAAAAAAAAAAAAAAGAAATTGACTATGAAAATTTTTATTCAAATGTTTAAAGATGCAAAAAATTATTGCTAAATAATGTCTAATTGTCCTAATTCAATTTTTTAATAAAAAAAAAAAATTTAAAAATGAAATTTTTGCTCAAAGAGAAAGTTTTGCGAAAACGAATCATAACTGAAAAATATTAAATTTTCAAATTCAATTTTTATAAAATATAAATCAAATTTTGTTAGCAATAGCAAAATATTACCTTATGGAAACAATTTTCTCTTTTTTTCGAGGAAATTTTATGAAATCTAAAAAAAGAAAAACTTTCTCTCTCTTCCTCATCTTTCCCTCCCATAAAAAATTTATGCATTTGTATTGTTTATCAAAAAATAAACAATACTTTTTCACTTATACATTTGTTATATTTTATTATTCCTTTTCAAATATATGTGCTATTCTATACTATAATAATAATAAAATACTAAATTAAATAATAATAACATATTAACAATAATTAATTATTAATCGTTTTATTTTTAATAATAATAATTGACAAAATGATAATAATAAAATAATAAAGATATTCTCATTAGTGAAATTGATTTTAGTTATGATTAAGAAATAAAATAAAAAGAAAATTTAGAAAAAAATGATATGAAACAAAGAAGTATTAATTTTGAAATTTGAAATAAATCACAGAAATATTTATTTCGAGTAGTGTAAGCTTTAGCTTTCAGTAGCTTTTCACGAGTGATACCTTTAAATTCGAGACAACTTGTTGAAATTTCGTTAGATACTCGAAATGTCGACTCATATCAGTGGCTAGGACCATTTCAACCGTGGCTTGTCGTAATGTTGTGAATTCTTCTCGGGTAAGTCTGGCAAAGATATTAATATCAGTGGTACTTTGCAAGGTAAGTTGAAATGCTAATGCTATGTGATGATTTTCTAGCACTGATTGATCGTTGTATAGCAATGCCAATGGTTGTTGAGTATTTATTAAAAAAGCATTGCCACGTCCTGAAATTAACTTTTTTTAATATATTTATTTTGAAGGATGCAATTACTAATTAATTTGAGTATATCATTGCAAGTAGATAACTTTGTTCGCTTTTCCCAGTAAGAATAGAAAAGAGCACAATGTGACATATTTGTTGACAATTGCTGCCTTAACTGTCATCCGTGAAATATTTTGCGATGGAAAGTAAGGTTTCTTCTAAAAAAGTAAGGTTTCTCGCTTCTAAAACTTTATGATAAGTGATAGCAAAACTGTCTTTTAATTAATTTATATTATGATTGCCTCTTAATTAATTTATATTAAGATCATCTTTTAATTAACGCTTGCAATTGGTCACTCTACGAAACCATGACAAGTTACTTTTACTAACCTTAAATTATCTGACCCACTGGAATCTGTAGTACTTGACGTGAATCAGTGGTACGTGGAATCAGTAAGACTAAGTGGAAAAGTGGAAAGGTATCTACCTGGATGATCTAAATCATGAACAGCGGCAGCTATTAAAGCTGCAGTAGCGTGTGCTTCCTGTACATAATGAGCAACGGTAGGACAATCAAGAAAAAATGACGTAGCCTGAAATAAGCCACGAATTTCCGGATTACATTGAAAGCTTTCGATATAATTACTAACCGTTAGAATTAATAATGCTTGAGATGTCATAGGAATGAATAGAAAGATACCTGTGAATAATCTAAATCAATTTAGAAGTGAAAATATAATTAATTAGTCAAAATCCAAACAAAGTACCTCCTTTTTTCCCTTTAAAAAAGACTTTTTTGAATTTTTTTTTTTTTGTTTTTTCTCATTATTTATCTGATGAAATATTCAATAAAATGATAAAACTGCTAGGATTTTCAGTGAATGAATGAAACTTCTAAAACATATGCAAATCATAAAGTAAAGAAGAAAAAAGCATTTAAATTATAATTTCACCTCTCGACCTGAATATAACAATGCCGGCAATCAGAACTACATTCAATAATAAATGAATTGTCTTCCTGCATGATACGGCTCAATTTCAGGAACCGGAAAAGTTAAAAACCTGTAAGACATCGGCGGCATGGGTAGCATTATGGTAGGGATTTACTGCATGATAATGCGCTTCAATGGCGTCAAACCAACGAGTAATTAAATCCATGGAACACTTCAATGTCTCATGGACCTTCCAACGCTCGAATATCTGCAATGTATCATCTCATTGAGTACCAATACTCTCTCACCTGAAAGGTAAGTATGAATCAGTCCATCCTTCCACCTCTCCAAAGGTAAGTATGAATCAGTCCATCCTTCCACCTCTCCAAAGGTAAGTATGAATCAGTCCATCCTTCCACCTCTCCACCTTTCTTCCTATTTTTCTACATTGTCTTTAATCTTTGACAAATGAATGCTTAATTATGTCACATGACACCATTTTTGCATGTTTACCTTTATTCCTAAATGCGAAAGTGCATGATTTTCAGAAATTCTTTCCAAATATAAAATATCAAAATTCCATTGAGTATCATTTAGTAAAGCATTGTGTACGTCTGTTGAAATACGTCGACAGCCGTCAAAACTATCCGATTTACGCTTAGCTTTGAACGCATCAACAACGGAACGTTTTCGAGTTCGAGGCATATGATGAATCTGTAAATAATAATTTGATATTAAAAATTTTATTATTCTAATGAACAATGTCCCATAGCATGAAAAGACCCTAAAAGTTAGATCACTAATTTCTCTCATAAGTTAGATCACTAATTTCTCTCATAAGTTAGATCACTAATTTCTCTCATAAGTTAGGTCACTAATTTCTCTCATAAGTTAGATCACTAATTTCTCTCATAAGTTAGGTCAGTAATTTCTCTCATAAGTTAGATCACTAATTTCTCTCATAAGTTAGATCAGTAATTTCTCTCATAAGTTAGATCACTAATTTCTCTCATAAGTTAGATCACTAATTTCTTTCATAAGTTAGATCACTAATTTCTCTCATAAGTTAGGTCACTAATTTCTCTCATAAGTTAGGTCACTAATTTCTCTCATAAGTTAGATCAGTAATTTCTCTCATAAGTTAGGTCACTAATTTCTCTCATAAGTTAGATCACTAATTTCTTCATAAGTTAGATCACTAATTTCTCTCATAAGTTAGATCACTAATTTCTCTCATAAGTTAGATCACTAATTTCTCTCATAAGTTAGATCACTAATTTCTCTCATAAGTTAGATCACTAATTTCTCTCATAAGTTAGATCACTAATTTCTCTCATAAGTTAGATCACTAATTTCTCTCATAAGTTAGATCACTAATTTCTCTCATAAGTTAGTCACTAATTTCTCTCATAAGTTAGATCACTAATTTCTTAATTTCTCTCATAAGTTAGGTCACTAATTTCTCTCATAAGTTAGATCACTAATTTCTCTCATAAGTTAGATCACTAATTTCTCTCATAAGTTAGATCACTAATTTCTCTCATAAGTTAGATCACTAATTTCTCTCATAAGTTAGATCACTAATTTCTCTCATAAGTTAGATCACTAATTTCTCTCATAAGTTAGATCACTAATTTCTCTCATAAGTTAGGTCACTAATTTCTCTCATAAGTTAGATCACTAATTTCTCTCATAAGTTAGATCACTAATTTCTCTCATAAGTTAGATCACTAATTTCTCTCATAAGTTAGATCAGTAATTTCTCTCATAAGTTAGGTCACTAATTTCTCTCATAAGTTAGGTCACTAATTTCTCTCATAAGTTAGATCACTAATTTCTCTCATAAGTTAGATCACTAATTTCTCTCATAAGTTAGATCACTAATTTCTCTCTCATAAGTTAGATCACTAATTTCTCTCATAAGTTAGATCAGTAATTTCTCTCATAAGTTAGATCACTAATTTCTCTCATAAGTTAGATCACTAATTTCTCTCATAAGTTAGAATCACTAATTTCTCTCATAAGTTAGGTCACTAATTTCTCTCATAAGTTAGATCACTAATTTCTCTCATAAGTTAGATCACTAATTTCTCTCATAATTAGATCACTAATTTCTTTCATAAGTTAGATCACTAATTTCTCTCATAAGTTAGATCACTAATTTCTTTCATAAGTTAGATCACTAATTTCTCTCATAAGTTAGATCACTAATTTCTCTCATAAGTTAGATCACTAATTTCTCTCATAAGTTAGATCACTAATTTCTCTTCATAAGTTAGATCACTAATTTCTCTCATAAGTTAGATCACTAATTTCTCTCATAAGTTAGATCACTAATTTCTTTCATAAGTTAGATCACTAATAAGTTAGGTCACTAATTTCTCTCATAAGTTAGATCACTAATTTCTCTCATAAGTTAGATCACTAATTTCTTTCATAAGTTAGGTCACTAATTTCTCTCATAAGTTAGATCAGTAATTTCTCTCATAAGTTAGATCACTAATTTCTCTCATAAGTTAGATCACTAATTTCTCTCATAAGTTAGATCACTAATTTCTCTCATAAGTTAGATCACTAATTTCTCTCATAAGTTAGATCACTAATTTCTCTCATAAGTTAGATCACTAATTTCTCTCATAAGTTAGATCACTAATTTCTCTCATAAGTTAGATCACTAATTTCTCTCATAAGTTAGATCACTAATTTCTCTCATAAGTTAGATCAGTAATTTCTCTCATAAGTTAGATCACTAATTTCTCTCATAAGTTAGATCACTAATTTCTCTCATAAGTTAGATCACTAATTTCTCTCATAAGTTAGATCACTAATTTCTCTCATAAGTTAGATCACTAATTTCTTTCATAAGTTAGATCACTAATTTCTCTCATAAGTTAGATCACTAATTTCTCTCATAAGTTAGATCACTAATTTCTCTCATAAGTTAGATCACTAATTTCTTTCATAAGTTAGTCACTAATTTCTCTCATAAGTTAGATCACTAATTTCTCTCATAATGTTATTGATCATAATTTCTCTATAATTAATCATATTTTTCATAAGTTAGTTATTTCTCTCATAAGTTAGATCACTAATTTCTCTCATAAGTTAGATCACTAATTTCTCTCATAAGTTAGATCACTAATTTCTCTCATAAGTTAGATCACTAATTTCTCTCATAAGTTAGGTCACTCACTAATTTCTCTCATAAGTTAGGATCACTAATTTCTCTCATAAGTTAGATCACTAATTTCTTCATAAGTTAGTCACTAATTTCTCTCATAAGTTAGATCACTAATTTCTCTCATAAGTTAGGTCACTAATTTCTCTCATAAGTTAGATCACTAATTTCTCTCATAAGTTAGATCACTAATTTCTCTCATAAGTTAGATCACTAATTTCTCTCATAAGTTAGATCACTAATTTCTCTCATAAGTTAGATCACTAATTTCTCTCATAAGTTAGATCACTAATTTCTTCTCATAAGTTAGAGATCACTAATTTCTCTCATAAGTTAGATCATAATTTCTTCATAAGTTATCACTAATTTCTCTCATAAGTTAGATCACTAATTTCTCTCATAAGTTAGATCACTAATTTCTCTCATAAGTTAGATCACTAATTTCTCTCATAAGTTAGGTCACTAATTTCTCTCATAAGTTAGATCACTAATTTCTTCTCATAAGTTAGATCACTAATTTCTCTCATAAGTTAGATCACTAATTTCTCTCATAAGTTAGATCACTAATTTCTCTCTCATAAGTTAGGTCACTAATTTCTCTCATAAGTTAGATCACTAATTTCTCTCATAAGTTAGATCACTAATTTCTCTCATAAGTTAGATCACTAATTTCTCTCATAAGTTAGATCACTAATTTCTCTCATAAGTTAGATCACTAATTTCTCTCATAAGTTAGGTCACTAATTTCTCTCATAAGTTAGATCACTAATTTCTCTCATAAGTTAGGTCACTAATTTCTCTCATAAGTTAGATCACTAATTTCTCTCATAAGTTAGATCACTAATTTCCTCTCATAAGTTAGATCACTAATTTCTCTCATAAGTTAGGTCACTAATTTCTCTCATAAGTTAGATCACTAATTTCTCTCATAAGTTAGATCAGTAATTTCTCTCATAAGTTAGATCACTAATTTCTCTCATAAGTTAGATCACTAATTTCTTTCATAAGTTAGATCACTAATTTCTCTCATAAGTTAGGTCACTAATTTCTCTCATAAGTTAGGTCACTAATTTCTCTCATAAGTTAGATCAGTAATTTCTCTCATAAGTTAGGTCACTAATTTCTCTCATAAGTTAGATCAGTAATTTCTCTCATAAGTTAGTCACTAATTTCTCTCATAAGTTAGATCAGTAATTTCTCTCATAAGTTAGATCACTAATTTCTCTCATAAGTTAGATCACTAATTTCTCTCATAAGTTAGGTCACTAATTTCTCTCATAAGTTAGATCACTAATTTCTCTCATAAGTTAGGTCACTAATTTCTCTCATAAGTTAGATCACTAATTTCTCTCATAAGTTAGGTCACTAATTTCTCTCATAAGTTAGATCACTAATTTCTCTCATAAGTTAGGTCACTAATTTCTCTCATAAGTTAGATCAGTAATTTCTCTCATAAGTTAGATCACTAATTTCTCTCATAAGTTAGATCAGTAATTTCTCTCATAAGTTAGGTCACTAATTTCTCTCATAAGTTAGATCACTAATTTCTCTCATAAGTTAGGTCACTAATTTCTCTCATAAGTTAGATCAGTAATTTCTCTCATAAGTTAGATCAGTACTTTCTCTCATAAGTTAGGTCACTAATTTCTCTCATAAGTTAGATCACTAATTTCTCTCATAAGTTAGGTCACTAATTTCTCTCATAAGTTAGATCAGTAATTTCTCTCATAAGTTAGATCACTAATTTCTCTCATAAGTTAGATCAGTAATTTCTCTCATAAGTTAGGTCACTAATTTCTCTCATAAGTTAGATCACTAATTTCTCTCATAAGTTAGGTCACTAATTTCTCTCATAAGTTAGATCAGTAATTTCTCTCATAAGTTAGATCACTAATTTCTCTCATAAGTTAGATCAGTAATTTCTCTCATAAGTTAGATCACTAATTTCTCTCATAAGTTAGGTCACTAATTTCTCTCATAAGTTAGATCAGTAATTTCTCTCATAAGTTAGATCACTAATTTCTCTCATAAGTTAGATCACTAATTTCTCTCATAAGTTAGATCACTAATTTCTTTCATAAGTTAGATCACTAATTTCTTTCATAAGTTAGATCAGTACTTTCTCTCATAAGTAAAGAGTTATAAGCTGATAACAACGATTAAATTATCACTACACGTTAATGAGAACATTCAGTTCAGATATGAAAATATTTGAAGCGAGAAAAACAACTGACACGTATCAATCCATCATAATAGCCAGTTGCTATCCGGTCATTATTACCGAAACGTGTTATTGTCGGAGCGTATAATTCGGATGATGATAACACCTGAAATGATTAATTACATTTCTAATTAATGTAGGAAGAAAAAAACAAAGCGACGAAGGTTAATTTAAAGGAAAATTAACAGAATTGGAAGAATTGAGCATTCCATAAAGATTAAGATTCTTTTCAATTTGAAACTTTTAGAGATGAATAAATGAAATAAGTTAAAAAATGAGAAGAAAACGAAATAAGTTGAAAAAAAATGGAAGAATAATCGGTGGATGTCTGAGATGCATTCCATAAGTAGTAATTCCTGAACGGAACAGAACAGATGTAAGCATTAACGAATTTACTTTGTTCAAATTTTCTAGTTAAGGAGCAGAATCACTGTTCATGAAAATTCTCGACAGGAAGTATAATTTCAGTGAAAGTTTTGATTAAGATAAAATCATTGTGGGATTTGTTCTAATCTCTGTGAGTGATTAAAATTCTTTTATGAGTGCTATGATGTGTTTTCATTAATATTGCATATGACATATGACATTGTTGATCACAAATTTTAAATTTCATTTCATGAAAATGTTTCAGAGAAAAGAAAAATTTTAATTTGTATGATAATAAGAGAATTACTTATTATTTGTATTCTGATTCATATGTATATAATATCGATACAATAACAGTAATGAAACAACAACTATTGTTGCATATTAAATTTTCTGAAATTAGTTGGCTTTTAACCTTACCTTTTCTTTTTTTATTTGAATCTATGCAGCTAAAATATGCTACTGTAATTCAGGAAAATTACAAGTCTGTTGAAATGAATTTATGATTTTAGACTAGGCTTCCTCAATTTCTAGGCCTCACTTCTTACTTACTTCACTGATTAATTGATTACTTTCATTACTATACTTTGTTTCATTATTAACATTTATTGTTCATTTACCAATTCATTATACTAATTACTTTATATACAACTCTCATCCTGAATGTAATCAATAAAATGTATTATTTCAGCCTGAAAATTAACAAGCTTTTCAAGCAGGAAAATTTAGAATCTGTTTTTATGAGCTCAGAAACATATATCAAAAACAGTAGTAATAATAAAAAGTGGAATTAGCTAAGATATATCCTATTCACTTACTTATTGGAAATACCCAAAAGGCAAGTAAGCATTCCATTAATGATGTAAATTTACTAACTCTGATTGCATCTCGAAGAATTTGTTGTGTTTGCTCGTCTGCTCTCGTCATAGCATCTCGTAAAGAGAATAATACCTCAAAATATGAATTATTTTATGAGATTTAGAATCAATTAGTATATGTCACATATTCAGAATAGAGTCAGTTTGCCATTAAAAGTTGTGTCAACCAACTTAAACATAAACAAATTACACTAATTTGCATAAATTTCAGCAAGAATGTATTCTATTATGGCCTAATAATACTGTTACTGCAATATTTTTTCAAAAACATTAATTTTACTGTCAATTATAAGGTAAATGAGGTAAACTTTGTAAAAGAAAAGAAATGAAACATTACCTATGAAATGTTAAGACAAAGAAAAGGAAAATAATAAACAAAAATTGAAGTGGGAGAAAGGAAATAATTAATACCTTTATAGGTAGAAATTTACCTCACTGATAGGTGCATCGACTAGCCCTGTTTGTGATCGTTCACTTCGTATCGATGTGTTTGTGTGAAGCGTTGAATCACCGCTATTTCGTTTCAAGTAAACAAATTGTTGACTATAAGAAAAATAAGTTTAAGAAGTTTTCCTTCCATTTGCATACAGAAGACAGAGACAGTCAGAAGTTATCATCCGGTCAGTGGTCATCCCTACATACAGAAGACAGAGACAGTCCGAAGTTATCATCCGGTCAGTGGTCATCCCTACATACAGAAGACAGAGACAGTCAGAAGTTATCATCCGGTCAGTGGTCATCCCTACATACAGAAGACAGAGACAGTCAGAAGTTATCATCCGGTCAGTGGTCATCCCTACATACAGAAGACAGAGACAGTCAGAAGTTATCATCCGGTCAGTGGTCATCCCTACATACAGAAGACAGAGACAGTCCGAAGTTATCATCCGGTCAGTGGTCATCCCTACATACAGAAGACAGAGACAGTCAGAAGTTATCATCCGGTCAGTGGTCATCCCTACATACAGAAGACAGAGACAGTTCAAAGTTATCATCCGGTCATCGGTCGTTTCAACAAATTGTGCAGTAACCCTTGCCATATTCCATTGGGAGGTTTAATTTTAAGCATAAACATAATATATATTTTAAATTTTTGAAAAAGAAGTAAACAGCTTAATGATATATTAATTGGGAAAAGTTATTACTGCTGAAAAGATTAAGTTTATAATTAAACGGTGTGTCTGGTACTAATTAATTAAGCTTAAGATGATAATATTACCGGTATTTTGTAAAGACTGTAAACATGCTAATCTTTGTAAATATTATTAACCTAGTAGAACTTCCAGGTATTTGTATACATTGCCATTCATTACTTTCTTTTCGGGTAATTTCACCTTCTGTTGCTGTCACTGTAATAAAATCTTTCGATCGAATTGAATATTTTTGCTGCAATGATTTCCGTCGAATTTCGGATGATTTCGTGCCAAGTACTTCACTCCTTAAAGCGGAAAATCATAAAATGTCATCCGGTTCACTTCAAGACACTCATTCCATCACATAAATAACAAGCATTTAAGCTTATATTCCATCATATTCAAGCCTACCACATAAATTACTTCCAAATTTCAGAATTTCTTTGTGAATTCAGTTACTTAGAGTTGTCACAGATACTGTATTGCACAGTACAGTTTTCTCATTTAGATATACCGTACTACCACCATACAGTAACGTGATGACATCCTATGAATTCTGTCATACGGTATGGTACCATATAACTCACCGTTTGAAACCAGTGTTTGTTTCATAGGCGCGATTTATGTATTGCACTGTTAAAGCACTGTCACATATTTTAATTGGTTGACATACCTGTAAAGGTACTTATGCTCAATTTAAGGTAAGTGTTTACTTATGGCTAAACACAATTAACCGTTTATCACTTTGTTTCTACATTCGCTGCTAATATCGTAATTAGAAGAATTACTGCAATTATTTATTTAATCTAATTATGTAATATTATAATTCATAAAATAAAAATAAGAAGTAAAGCTTTGAGATTTTAGCATGGCTAATGATGGTACCTCGTCCAGGACAGCAAATATGGCAGGAGTAGCTCGCAAACGATTCGCAAGGCGTGCGAATAATTCACATAGGGAGATGTCCGTTGACGTTGACACGAACACCTGAAAATGGTTTTACGTGAAAATGAATTTATTAATGTGTATAATTTTAGCATCATTTATAAAGTTAGTATTAATAAGTATGATAAATATGAGGTATATAATAATTATTGAATTTAATTATTTTTAATTCCTTATCTATTGACTTATTTTAAGTGACAATTTTTATGGGACTATCATCTAATATACTTATCTAACAGTACATATACTTAATTTAGTATCGTATCTAATATACTTACAAATGTAAAATGGATGTCAAAGAAAAAGCGACAAATATTGATGATTGAAATGCGAATTTCCATAAGAATGCTGTGAAACTCTTAAATGCAACCCCTAATCAAAGTAATTTTATTATAAAGGTCATCTACCTGTTGAAATGTCAGTACGGAAAATAATAAACTTACATGGCAAAGGCTAAATTGTGAAAGCCAACGCCTACGTTTTTCGGATACCATCCTGGAATTATTTTAATAAAAAGCAAAATCGTTCATAAAAAGTTCAGAAAACTAAAAATTAAGAAAAAATTTTGAAACAAAAATTTGAAAAAAAATTTTAAACAGTATGAAGATTTTTTTCAAAATGTTGCACAACATTAAAATATAAAATTGGGAAAAGCATGAATTACCTGTCTGATAATGCAGCAAAAAAAACTTCGTCAGATGTTGGAAGGCAATGCATCGTTCTTCAATTGTAAATTACAACTTTTAAGCGAAAGGAAAAAACAAAAACAAAGAATTAAATGTTCTGATAATTTGAACTATTTAATGTGCAAAACTTTTCTTTCATAATTTTTTTGCTAAATTTTCCAAATATTTACTAAATTTAATTTCCAGAAAACTTCTAATCCACAAAACTTCTTCCGATAACTCAAAATAGCTTTATTGTATTTCACTATTCAAATCAGATATTTTAAACAATAAAAGAAAATTTGATTCCAACTCTTTTAATGAATTTAAAAAATGCGGCGGTGTTTATCATTGTTAGCCTAAACAGCGATTGAAATTGATTAACAATTTAAATAGCTCTGCTAATTTATTGCCTTAAAAAGCCAAGTTTTAACTTAAAATTTGACCAACAGTTACATTTGAAGAAATTAATCGAGGAAAATGCCCCATGAAGAATTAATAAAATTAAGAAGAAAGTTAGCTCTTTTAATGTGATGATAAATTGAGTTACTTGGCAAAGGTAGCAATATCAGGTAGTCGAATATCCACCAGAACTAGCAGTGGTTTTTGTTGTTGGTAATTAACTTCGGCAATACCTGCCGTTGCTTTGACAACCTGAAAAGAAAATTTTTGAAAAAGAAAAAATCATTAAATAAATTATGATTTTTTGCTTTTAAAATTTTAAATTAAAATGAAAAGAAGAAAGAAAGAAAATAAATGAAATGAAATACCTGCCATCCATTTGATCGAAGATTTTCAATAAAAAGACAATCAATTGGTTGCCGATTTGCTGTTACGAACAGTGCCTACAAGAAATTTCATTTTAGACTTTTATATTGGTTAAATATTTCAAGTTTTTAGAGTATGCCAAGCCAGATCAGGCCAAGCCAAGTCGAATTAAGTAAGTAAGATAAGCTAGCCTAAGCCAAGTAGCTTCTTTTACACAAAATATTTACTATATATGCTTCAAGAAATGATATATTTCACTGATTCAATCAATAAACACATATCAGTAAGATTCAATCATTTAATGAAATATTCAAACATTCAAAATTACTGCTCTATTGCGTCTTATTACTTTCACTTTAATTATTAATATGTCTTAGCTAACTTTAATTCATTCTTTAAATATTATGGAATAAAAAATTTTAATTTATAATTTGGTAAGATCAGCTGAAATGTTTATTACTATTATTATTATTATTATTATTATTATTATTATTATTATTATTATTAGTAAGATACTAGATGACACCTTTAGAAATCAATAATATAAATGAATGTTTATTTAAGACAACAAATACAACTACTCATTCATTTACACGTATATTTACGTAAATCTTTTTTTTTTTTTTTTTTGAAAAAGAAACTATTACATTTGTTAATAACGTTTATTTAAAAAAAAAAAAAAAAATGAAAGAAATTGATGTGAACTTTTGAAATTAATGAATGAAAAAAACAGTTTTCTGTTTTAATTTATGGAAAATGTAATTTAATTTTTTGGAATATATTTTTTCACAGTTTAGTTTTTCCATTTTTTTACTTTTTATTCCTCTTTTTCTTTTAAAAAATAAATAGAAGATGGAACAAGTTTTTACCAAACAGAAGACAACAAAATAAAGAGAAATAAACAAACAAACAGGTAGATGGAGAGAGAGAGGGAGGGAGAGAGGGTGAGAGTAAATTAAAATGCTTTCGTTTTTTTTCATCAGTATTTTTGAAGAATTAGAAATAAATTTATAGCAAATTTAAAGAAAAACAAAATTCGGAAGTCGTTTAGTCTATATTAATTGTTTAGAAATAAATTTAAGTTACTGAGGCAGTAAATATTTCAAAAACAAACTGATCATATCATTGTGATAGTGGAAAATAAATAAATGTTAAATTTGTAAAAAAATATTTAAGAAACAAAAAAAAAAATTTTTTTTTTTTTTTGATAAAAAGCAATCTTTATGACTTTCAATAGGATTCTCTATTAAGATTACAAAAGAAAAGATCAAAAAGTGATTATAATTATTACTTTCATCATTTCATAAATAATTTGTTGTAATATTGTTTGCTTTCTTTTCTTTCGTTTTAATTATTAACGAACTTTTAACTTGTTATATTTTAACTTACTTAACAAATTTTAACTTGTTATATTTTAACTTACTTAACAAATTTTAACTTGTTATATTTTAACTTACTTAACAAATTTTAACTTGTTATATTTTAACTTACTTAACAAATTTTAACTTGTTATATTTTAACTTACTTAACAAATTTTAACTTGTTATATTTTAACTTACTTAACAAATTTTAACTTGTTATATTTTAACTTACTTAATAAATTTTAACTTGTTATATTTTAACTTACTTAACAAATTTTAACTTGTTATATTTTAACTTACTTAATAAATTTTAACTTATCATGTTTATTTTTTCTCATAGAAATCATTTCATTTCCCATTTGTTTATACTTTTCATTCTATGTTTAAAAGAAAAGAAAAAAAAAAAAAAACATTTGCAATCGTATAGTAATGAAATGTCATTGCTTGCAAAGAGAGAAAAGCAAAATAATTCAAATGAATGAATCATTTAAGTTCCTTTCTTCTCATCCATATTTAAGGGTCATTTAAAGTTCAATGCTCAATAAATTCATTGTTGAAAAGTTTTTTTTACACAAAATTGAACGAATTGGAAATTTTAATGACAATTGTTTGACGACATCATCCATTCATAATAGATAGTAGTAATATCAATTAGGTTTAGCTACTGAATTCATATAAAATTAGCATTTTGGTTTAGTTTGAATCTTTTTTTTAGATAGAAATTAAAATGTCATCAAATTGCTTTCTTCCATTCAATACTTTCTTTCTTCTTTTTATCATTGATTAATTGAAACACTCAAAAATTCTCCTTCCTTTTTCAGATGAAACTAATATTTTCTCAACGATAATCAATTTTAAACTTATCACATCATTTTTACCCATTCCTTAATTACCTAATCATTCATTTAATTCCTTTTCTTTTTCCTTTTTTCAGTTAATTTCATTCAGTGTTTTTGATCATTTTTTTTTTTTTTTTTATTTTGATTACCTAATATATTAATAGTGAACTTCAATTTATTGTGAAAGAATAAAATAAAGTAAACTAATGAGACATATTTCTCACCTATTTCAATTACATCATTTTACCTTCCCTCTTGTCAACCAAATTCTATTTGACATTTTTAGATTCCACCGTTTCACTATGCTAACAATTCAAAGATCATTTCCGTAGTAAACATAAATGATTAATAAACAAAACACGTGATTATTTATTCAAAATCTATTCTACTTTTTTTCTCTCTTCTTTTTTTGATTTTCATACTTTTTTTTTTTAAATTGCATTTGAAATTTTATCAATGTTTTACTATTTCACATATTTAAATACTCCAACAACTCATTATTTGTGTATGTTAAATTCATTTCCTCTTTTTTGCTTTATTCAAAAACAAAAATACTAAAATTTGAATATCTAAACAATTAAAATAGTAAAACATAAATGATTAATAATTAAAATATAAGAAATATATTAGCAAAGATACGCATAGTATCATCTGCCGTCCTTTTCTATTAATCTTTTGACATTTAGACTTTTTATTTATTTTCAAATTAAATACCATTTACATCACAGCCACTGTGCATCCTTTTTTCAGGAAATACTGTTAGAATAACTTACCTATAATTGCTAGTAATTTCTGTAGGTAAAAATATAACAGAAAAAAAAAAAAAAGAATTTGGTAAGTAAAATAAGGTATTATTTAATGAAACTTTCCGCAATTCAAATGACAGAAATGAAGAAAGAGAATGAAACGTGGAAGAAATGACACATTACCAGAATTTCCAGAATGACACATTACAGGTAAGCAAGGTAAGCAATCCTCACATTGCAGGTAAGCAATCCTCACATTGCAGGTAAGCAATCCTCGCATTACAGGTAAGCAATCTTCGCATTACAGGTAAGCAATCCTCGCATTACAGGTAAGCAATCCTCACATGGCAGGTAAGCAATCCTCACATTACAGGTAAGCAATCCTCGCATTACAGGTAAGCAATCTTCGCATTACAGGTAAGCAATCCTCGCATTACAGGTAAGCAATCCTCACATGGCAGGTAAGCAATCCTCACATTACAGGTAAGCAATCCTCAAATTACAGGCAAACAACCCTCAAATTACAGGTAAGTAATCCTTAGCTTTTCCCGCAACCGTAAGTTCTTTAAATTAGCTTACTGGAAAAATCCCTTACTTTTCACTTTCAAGAGACTTTTTAGCAGAAATAGTTAAAAACAATTCCATATACCGTGGAATTTCTCTAAGGAAAATAATTTTGCGGCGAGAGAGAGAGAAGGAAAGAGAGAGAATATCCAACTGTGATCTATAAGATACTTTTAATAATTTTGCATCTGAGAAACATTAAAATGATTACAGGTAAGCAAGGTAAACAATCCTCACATTTTGGTTGATTTTTAATAAAGAAAAAGTAATTTTCCTCCAATACAATAAGTAATTGTAGTATTTTCTCGTTTTTTTTTTTGCAAATATTTAGTTGAAAGTGATAAAAATGAAATGGGAAAGTTACCTTTATGCAAACAAAATTTATACTGAAATATGCAAAGTATTGATTAATTGGCTGATTGATTGATTATTGATTGATTGAAAGATCAATGTGTTAGTGATATTATAAATATGTGAAATTCTATTAAATATAAATATTTGTTTGTTAGAATGATGAAAATAGCAATAAAAATTCAGAAAAAAGAAAAGAAAAGAGAATTTTTTCATTCTTTCCTATCAAAGAGAATGAATTAGAAGTAACAACGAAAAAAGAATGAAAAATGATTTCATTATTATTTGAAAAGAAAAAACAAAACTCTCAAGAAATCTTGTTTAAAAAAATTTTTGTTTAGCTTCTACAAATAAATTATTAAATTTCTATATTTTGGGATTGTAAAACTAAACTGCCAAAATTTGATTTGTCGTATACTTTTTATTCTATAATTCCCGAAATATAAGGTAGAAGATTAAGTTATATTTTCAGTACTGCAAAACAAAGAATAAAAGTTGTTTTATCTGATTTTGTTGACTACAGCGATATAACTGATAATAATAATGATAATAATAAGTAATAATAATGATAATAGTAAGTAACAATATAATATTAATAATAATTAATAAAAACAATAAATATCAGCAACACTAACAGCAATGATATTGATGGCAACATTAGCAATACTGATAACAATAACAATATTAGTAGTGCTGATAACAATAACAACACCATTATAGCTTTTTTTATCATTACTACTATCATTTATCAGTTCTACGTATATTAATCTCGTTGATATCCCATTTCATCTGCTGAATTCCTCATTGTAATTTTAAATTCATGCGAAGCTGAAGAAGTTGGAAAGGAAGTAATAATTAGGGATTCAGATGACATTTGAGCCAGGCCATTATAGCCATTTATCGGAACACTATCAAGTATCATTCTCCCTCATTCAGCGGCTTACTTTTCCATCATTTCACCTGCCAATTCTTCCTTCTCTTTATCTATCATCACTCTCGACATTCAAGTATAATAAGAGGTTGATAATAATGAGTCAAACGAATATCAGTTTAATCACATCTCGAGACTTACTAACTGAACCTTTCATATCCCATAAGTTTCATGCTAATTTCCCAGCACTTTCTTCTCTCCCATCTCTTCTTCACCTGTCACCTACCTTCTCATCCAGTCTCGAGTCTCGACATTCAACTATTTTAAGGTGCTAACTAATTAAACACTCATTGGCTCACTTTTTTCTTTCCAGCTCTCTGCAATCGTATTAAACGAGACAAACTTGTGCATAACACACTTCAGTTGATTGGTTTTCTCAGTGAAGAGTGGATGCATGCATGCATTATGCATTACGCATGCATGCATGCATTATGCATTAAGCAATCATTCGCATCTGCATCTTATTACTACTTCTATGCAAAAACTGAAAGCAAATTTTCTAGTTGTCAATCTTTTAATTTTTCCCTTTTCTCTTCGTTTTTTTCTTCTTTTAAGTTTGTTTTATACAATTTAATCTAAGAAAAGGGAAATAAACAGAAAAGAAAACTGGTAGGACGTGTTTGAGAGAGAGAGAGAGGGAGAGAGTGCGGGGTGCTAGCGGTGTTTGAGAGAGTGCGGGGTGCTAGCGGTGTTTGAGAGAGTGCGGGGTGCTAGCGGTGTTTGAGAGAGTGCGGGGTGCTAGCGGTGTTTGAGAGAGTGCGGGGTGCTTTATTTGTACTAAATATACCGAAAATACCAAATGAAGGATATTTTATCATACTTCCCACTTACACAAATTCAAACATTGTCCACAAAAACAATAATTACTATTAGTTTCAATTATTGACATAATTAATTGAAGAAGGAAAAACTGAAAAAGGAGAAAATGCAGGGTAAGAAATTCCTATGATATCTTCTGAAATAAAAGTAAGTAAATAAGTAAGTAAGTAATCGATAATTATCGGAGAAAACTAAAAAAGAAAAAGTAAAACAAAGTCTAATTAAGTTATGCATTTATCCAATAACTTATATATTTTAACTACAATATAAACAATAAAAGTAATAATAGCAAAAAAAACAACAATTATGTTGAGATCAAGTTCAAACCAATAATATTAGTAATAGCGAGCGGAGCAGAAACTCTCAGATGGCGGGATTTTGCTAGCATTGGGACTTTATATTGATTGATTATATTAGTAATAGCGAGCGGAGCAGAAACTCTCAGATGGCGGGATTTTGCTAGGATTGGGACTTTATATTGATTGATTATATTAGTAATAGCGAGCGGAGCAGAAACTCTCAGATGGCGGGATTTTGCTAGGATTGGGACTTTATATTGATTGATTATATTAGTAATAGCGAGCGGAGCAGAAACTCTCAGATGGCGGGATTTTGCTAGGATTGGGACTTTATATTGATTGATTATATTAGTAATAGCGAGCGGAGCAGAAACTCTCAGATGGCGGGATTTTGCTAGCATTGGGACTTTATATTGATTGATTATATTAGTAATAGCGAGAATAAACATGGAAAATAAAATGATTAAATGATTACTTTCGATATTTGTGGACGCATTTTATCAGTTGCAATTTGATTTGATATCATTTCAACATTTTAATTTTTTAGTAGAAAAATCTTTAGGAAAGCAAATTTTCAATCAATTTTTCATGTCGCAGAGTGCTATAATTTTATTCAGTACTTTCCACCTTTCTCAATAGCAATAATTGTTGATTAAAACAGTGAGTGGGTGATAAGACATGAATCAGACTTGAAGAAGAATCATCTCTTTCATGTATCGCCCTCTCTCTTCCTAGCCTTAACTAATATTTCAGGCTTTTTAATAATTTAGGCCTTTTGTTCTTATAATCTGAACGTATAGTTTAATTATATTTATTGGTATTTGTTATCAAAAATGGTTAAACGAATTTAAAATAGAGCAAATGTATTGCATTTTAACATACAAAAAACAAAAAATGAAATTAACTTATTAATTGTTTGTGTAAATTGATTACCTTACTTTACCTTAGCTTACCTTACCTTACCTTTCAGAAATATGCTAACCAAATTTTTTTTTTACTCGCTTATTCAGCAAAGTAAAAATTTACCTCTCTCTCACTGTCAAAATATTCCTTTATCTTTTTATCTTCTTTGCACCGATATAATGATTAATTAAAAAGTGTTTCATTTAAGTTAAATTCATTTTTCAATTAATTAAATTTCAATTAATGCTTTTCATGCAGTTTAAAACTACAAAAGGAAGAATTGAACTTCTGACACACAACCAATTAATTTATAATTTTCTAAATTTCACTTTTTATCTTACTCCTTCATTCTTTTTTGCTTTCTTTTCAGAATTACTGGTAAATTTTTAATAAATGATAGCGATGGAAGAATTAATTATCAGATAAAATTATTTTTTAAATTAAGTGATATTATTAACAAGCAAAATAAAATCTAACCATTTTTTTTGGCTGTAGAAGCATTGGACCAAAATTATCAGGTATAATTAATGATTTCCGTCTAGTTGTTCCAGTTGCATTTGCAACACTTAGTGATTGCTGGGTGATATTATCACTATCCGAAGTGATAAGAGCAGTTGATGTTGTTCCGCCACTATTTGCTAAGCCACAGCACCATGGCATTTCGATTTATTTTTTATTTTTTTTTTCTTTTTTGACAAATTTTCTAATTTATAATTTAATAAATCAAATTATAGGAGAAAGGGAATTGTTTCAAAATGAAAATAAAAAATAAAATAAAATAAAATAAGGACGAATAGTAATAGCATAAAATGGAATTTGCTTTAGTGAGGTGAAAAGTTTTAATATTTTAATAATTATGGAAGCAGTAATAAATCCAAAAGAAATAACAGTAATAGTAATTAGTAGTAGTGGTAGTAATAGCTAATATTTCTGCACGCAATGTTAGAAATTTCAATAAATAAACATTAATTTCTATGTCAGAGTTTTCATAAAAACAAATTGATTGATGAATTGGTCGAGAAGTACCACAATTAATGCATCAGGTAGGTCTGAAACAGGTGATCGCTTATCATGCAAGCAGTAGGTAATTCATAAAGATAAATAGTTCAGACGGAATATTGAAAAGATTTAAGATGTAATAACAAAATGAAATATTTAAAAAAAAAAAAAAAAATGAATTTGAAATGCAATAAGCAAAATAAAAAATACAACGAAAGATTGTTGTGAATCTAAAATTGTGCATTAATTAAAGTGATAATATGAATGGAAAATAAACTATTTGCAGCATAAAGAATGATTGTATTAATTAGTTAAATAGTAAAAATAAGTCAATTAACGATAGAATTAATTAAAATGTTTATGAAATAAAGTAAAAAAAAAAATTGAAATGGAAATGTGGAGACAATGACATTTGATGTGATTCATTACCTATGGATGAAATAAGTTAATCTCTTTTTTTTAAGAAAGAAAACAGCAAGTAAACAATTATTAGCGAAATTTTAGAAGTAAGCATCAGCCATAAAATCATCATAAAAATTTAAGTTGAAAAGTCATTAAACAACGGAAAACGTCAATTGATGTCACCGATGTGACGAAGAGAAAAAACATTGTTGTAATTTCATCAACAGCTGTAGAATATCGTTTATTTATTCAGTCTGTTTCAATTCATTTAATAGTAAGTAATAAAGATGAAATCATCATAAAAGTTTAACTTAACATTTCTCACTGCAACATTTCAAATTTATTTTTATACTTTAAAAAATAGTCACAGATTGAAAATGTGAAAGAAAAAGAAAGTTTTGATCACAATATTAAAATGAAAACAAATGATAGAAAATGAAAGTTGAAATATTTTAAATACTTTAAACCTTTAAATATATTGCTTGAACTTTTAAAGTATTTAAAGTAATACGATGGAAACTTTCAAAGCAAATAATTCAATAATTTATAAAAGGAAAAAAGGGGCGAAATTATGAAGTTAAATGGCATCAACAAAAACAATTAAATTTAAATGTTGTTGTGATAAAATGGATAAAAACACTTAGTGCTTATTTGTGCTAAAGAATTTTAAATAAGTGAAAGGATTATAAAACAATGGTGAAGGATATAAATCTGCCTTGATTGATAAGGCCTTTTTTTTGAAGCCAAAAGAAACAGCCAAGTAATATGTGATTCTCTGACTTAGTAAACTATGAGGGCGTTTTTTTTTTTGCTTTTGTTTTGCATCAAAAGTGTAAATTTAAAATCAAATAAATTTCGAACTTCAATGCAAGGACAAAAAATTCAAAGAGTCTACAGACGTTAACATTATTCTTTAGCAACTGCAAATGCATGCACTACTCAAAAATGCATCATTCTAGGTGCAGCTGCATATGCAAGTATCATTCAAAACTTGTTTCAAGTGCAACTGCACATGTATACATTAGCTAAACTGTACATTCCGTACATCATTTTGCATGCAACTGCACGCATGCATCATCCAATTGTATCATTTCGAGAATTACACAAATGCAGCTGCATGCGCATGCATATAATCATGCTGTTTCGAGAATGATTCACTTGAAAGGATAATTTCCATTAAATTCTATTTTAATTTAGCACTCTAATCCTTCTCTTTTAGTTAATAAATATTCTAATAACTTTCCAAATGATAATAAAATTTTCTAATATTAAATAAAGAATGGAAGAAATATGTAGAAAAAAAGAAGGAAATATTAAAGCATATGAAATGATAAGTATTATTGTTTTGCTAAATAAATAGACGATAAAGTAATAATAATAATATTAATATTAATAATAATAATAATAATAATAATAATAATAATAATAATAATAATAATAATAATAATAATAATAATAATAATAATAATAATAATAATAATAATAATAATAATAATAATAATAATAATAATAATAATAATAATAATAATAATAATAATAATAATAATAATAATAATAATAATAATAATAATAATAATAATAATAATAATAATAATAATAATAATAATAATAATAATAATAATAATAATAATAATAATAATAATAATAATAATAATAATAATAATAATAATAATAATAATAATAATAATAATAATAATAATAATAATAATAATAATAATAATAATAATAATAATAATAATAATAATAATAATAATAATAATAATAATAATAATAGTAATAGTAATAGTAATAGTAATAGTAATAGTAATAGTAATAGTAATAGTAATAGTAATGATAATAAGAGTAATGCAAAAAAAGGAATAGTATAAATGAAATAAGTTATTAGAGGAGTTATGATAGTGAAATGAAGAGTGATGGAAAGGAGAAAAGAGCGTCGAGAATGAAATGGAACATTGAATAAACAGGAACCAATAACGCCGGGTAGCAAATGCCGGGTAGCAAAGGCATTGTCAACATTACCAATAACATACGAAACCCTTCCCTTTCCTTTATTCCTTGCCTCCGGGTTTCCCGCCGTTGCCTGCCCTTCCTTTCGGGGAAAGAGAAAGAAGAATTGAATTAATTAACATAATGGGTACATATGCATGCTTGCATCCATCATTATACTTCTTCTTCCATTATGACGCAATTTTTGATTTTCGATACAAACATCAAACATTTTTCTAAACAATTCAAATTTCCCTGCCAATGTCTTCCTCTCTTCAATTCACACACACTTTCTACTCTTTTATAGGCCTATTAACAACCTTTCCCATCCCATTTCATCCCTTACTTTCATCTTCCTTTCAACAGTTTTCATCGTTGTACATGTATGTGTGTATGTGTATGCATGTGTGTGTATGTGTGTGTATGTGTGTGTGTGTGTATGTGTGTGTGTGTGTATTTTATTATATTTGAGTTATATTGTATGCTGAAATAATGCTAATTACGATATTCAATGGAAGAGAAGCAGCAATGCAAATGTTGACAATGTGACAGTGGAAGGAAGGAAGGACAGTGTGAGAGGAAGGTGACAGACAGTGTGAGAGGAAGGTGACAGACAGTATGAGAGGAAGGTGACAGACAGTATGAGAGGAAGGTGACAGACAGTATGGGAGGAAGGTGACAGACAATAAAAAGAGCTGAAAAAAAATTGAGAAGGAATGAAGGGAATGTGTTGAAGGGAAGAGGATGAGTGATCATTTGCTGAGGAACTAATCAACTAATATTGGATGAAAGGAATTAATTGGAAGCATTTCAGATGGTTGACACTACCAAACAGATAGAATGTCCTGTGCAAGTGCAAAGGTATTCGTTTCCTTCTCTTTGTTTATAGTATAATACAGGTATGACTGGATGAAATGATATCACATATGATGCAACTAATTGGGTTAAATATAACAAAATATAGTGACGGAATAATGATAACAATAATAATAAAGTTTGATAAATTTTTAAGGTTATATAAATAAAGTTTATATGAAAATATGTATATAATATTGATGTTTCTGATATATTTATCAGTACATTCTTATTTTTGTTATCATCACTTCAGATTATGTCACTTAAATTTTATTCATTTTTTAATTCAAAATAAAGTTATAATCTATGATAAATGAAAATATTACAATGTAAACTAATTTAAGTGTATTATAAGAGAAAACTAATACTTATGCATAGTTTAATATAAATAAATGACTGTCAGTCAACACACACTTATGCAACTTGCGTGCTTCCTTAATTGCTAATTAAAATATTAGTTAGCATAAAAGTATTAAATTGGGGACACTGATTTGTCACCTTTGGTTACGGTAGGGTAATATGCAAATTTATGAGGAATTTTGGCATATTTCATCGTTTATTTCATATTATTGTACGATGAAAGATGAAAAAAGAATGAAAGTTCTCGCTGTTACTTAATGTGTAAACAATTTGCATAAGTTAATGAGAATGGGAAAAAAGAAAGGAAAATTATGGATTTTAGTTATAAAAGTAAATTGTTATCTTTTCTTTCTTTTTTATTTGTTTATTTGTTATTGTTATTATTTCTCGAAACGAATAAAAGAAAAATAAATCAATCCAAAGAAAATAGTCAAATAGATTGGTTTGTCTAAATGAGAAATGAAAAATTATTATAAATTACTTTGTTATGCTCAATAAATTCTATACTTTAAGCTCAAAAATAGATTTAAACAAACTTTACATTTGAAATCTACAAATAAAACTAAAAATGATCTAATTTAAATGTGTAATTACACACACACACACACACACACACACACACACATACACACAGACACTAGCAGACACATACATACATACACAAATATGTATGATGGTTAGTATTCAAAGAGAAATGAAAAGAATTAGGGTAAAAAAATTTGTTTACCAATGTAAATGCAATTTTTTGAAGTGGTTTGCAATTGATATTGAAGGGAATATACATTGAATTGTTTTTGTTTTTCGCAATGAAATTTTAAATTTAAATTAATTTATTAAATTGCAAATAAAAAGACAGAAAAAAATACTTTTCGAATTTAAAAAGTTTTTCGTTTTTCTGTACATTGCGATCATCGCATTTCTCTTATCACATTAATAGCTATCAGAGAATTTCAATCAAAACATAATGTTAAAAGTTTGATTCTATTTTTTCTTCTCTGTATAAAATATTTTTGTAAAATTTCTGATCTGATAATTTCCTTCTCTTTAATTAATTTTCT